CCCCCACGCCCTCCGCCCTCGCCCCCCGCCCCCACTTCCGTCATTCGTAAATTCTTGACTCCCTAAGGGGGTCCCGCATTACCCTTGACTCAACCTAGGTCCCTGAGGGGGTCACTTATTCCCACAGGAGAAGTCGCTCTCTCCTCGAGGGCTCCATCTCCCCAAAGAGGGTCATTCATTCTCCTCAGCCCTCCTGAGGGCGTCACTCATACCCCTGTCCCTCGACCCCTCTGAGGGGTCTGAGGGGCCTGGTCACTTGTCTTTCCCGGTCCTCTTGAGGGGGTCATTTCGTTCCCGAAAGGAAGGCAATCCCTTCCCGGTAGAGCCCATCCCACTTGGGGGCGTCGCTTTTCTCGCCGGCCGTCTTGAGCGAATTATTACTCCCCCACCCCGCTCCTGAAGGGGGCCCTTCGTCCCCAACGGGGAGGTCACCCCTTCCCCACGGGACCCACTCCCACGAAGAGTTCCCCCACCCTCCCGGCCCTCTAGAGGAGTCACTCGTACCCGAGGGGTAGGTCACGCTTCCCGCCGGGCCCCATCCCCCGAGGGCCCGCTCCGCCTCCTTCCGGGCCCTCCCCCGCGAATGATGGCGCCGCAGGCTGGCCGGGCTGCCTGGGCGGGGCTCCCGGGAGAAGCGAGGCGGCTGGGCCCAGAGCGCGGAGCCCCGGCGTTGCGGCAGCGGCGGGCGCAGCCATGGCGGGCTGCTGCTCGGTACTGGGGGCCTTCCTGTTCGAGTACGACACGCCGCGCATCGTGCTCATCCGCAGCCGTAAAGTCGGGCTCATGAACCGGGCAGTGCAGCTGCTCATCCTGGCCTACGTCATCGGGTGAGCGCGGCGGTGGGCGGCGACCCCGCGGGGTCCCGGGACCAGGGGTAGCCCGACCGCCGGGGACTGCCCGCTTCGGGCCCCGGCCATGCACCTGCTTATCCTGGCCTAGGTCATCGGGTGAGCCCCGCGGGCGCCCTCCAGGTGGGGTCCGGGGGGTAGCGACCCGAGGCCGGGGACACACCCCTCCCCGGCGGACCCCACTGGGGGAACGGGCTCTGTGCCAGGAGACTGCCTTGATGTTGTGTTGTAAGGGCAAAGCCTGGCGAGACCTTCCTCCCCGCCTTTTCTGCTTGTCATTCTGACCTGCTCCATGATGTCCTTTGGCCGGGAGTGGGGACAGCGCTTTTCCTTAAACGTCTCAATCTGTTGTTGTTCACTTCCCATTCTGATGATCTGCTGACAGAAACCAAGGTTTGTGATTTCCTTATGGTTCCTTTTGGGTCTGTGGCTTCCGGTTCGGTCCTTTCAGCACCGTGTGGTAACCCAAGATAGTCTAGAGGTCATATTTCCAAAAAGCCTTTCAAGTACACTTCCCTCATTTTGTGGGGCTGTTGGTATAGGTACCTGCCCTTAGTTAGCCTCATCACTCCCGGGGCCACCCTCTTAGCTTAGATATGCCCTGCCACCATCATTCCTCTCCAAATGTTTAATATGAATTGAATGCACCTCTTACAATTTAATAAAATGCGAGAGAGGAGGTGGAAATTAACTTACAACTGGGCCTGCTTTCAAGGTCCGCCTGGGGTATTATGGTGTCCACAGTCGATGAGCTGGCAGATGTTATCTGCTCCGTCTGTCTTTTTCTTCAAAAGCCTAATTCAGTGATCCCCACACTACACCTAGAACCATTCCGGAATCTTTAAAAATCACCGACTGCTGGCTCCCATCCCCAGGCCTTCTGATTTCGTTGCTATAGAGTATGACCAACAGACCCAGGTGATTTCTCATGTGCAGCAAAGCTTGGGAACTAGCGTCCTCGTGTTTCCCAGATCTACCTGATCAGGAGAAACTCACCTTAGGAATTGTTCAAAAGTAACCTTGGGTAATGCTTGGAATCTGTTAACACTGCCCAAGGGAATTCACCTGATCAGGCAGGTTTGGTCTCTAACATCTATGAGCCCAGGAGCAGTAGGTTTTGACAGGATTCAGCAAAATGGCTTTCCAGGTATGGATTCTACATCGGAACCACCTAGCCCACCCCCTGGTTTGGACTCAAGTCTCATTAAGTCCTGTCATGAACTCCTCACCCCTCCAGCGATTATGATGCCCCCTTAAATTTTGAGACCCAATACTAGTTGGTTAACGTTGCTGGGTTGGACCTCAAGTGTTTGGAACCAGGAGCCCTCACACAGCTTTTTCCTCTTGGCTTTTTATGCTTATGGGAGGATCAGCTTACATCTATCTACCTTGGGTATCTGTAAAGTTCTAGACTGCAGAAATTACAGTTAGTCCCCCCTTAACCACACTTTCGCTTTCCACAGTTTTAGTTACCGTCTGAAAATATTAAATGGAACATTCCAGAAGAAACAATTCATAAGTTTTAAATTGCGCACCGTTCTGAGTAACATCATGAAATCTCGAGTGCATCCCACTTGGGCCACAATCAACCCTTTGTCCAATGTCCCCATGCTATATATGTCCCCTCCTGCTAGTCACTTAGTAGCCATCTCAGCTATCAGATGGGTTGTCAAAGAGTGGGAGACCACATTCACATAACTTTGATTACAGTATATTGTTATTATTGTCCTATTTTATTATTGTTAATCTCTTACTGTGCCTAGTTTATAAATTAAACTTTATCATAGGTGTGTATAGGAAAAAACGTAGTATTGGGTTGTCGGAAAAGTCATGATGTATTTTTTTATGTTTTTCATTGCAAAAGTGCGTCATGACTTTTCCAACAACCCAGTATATACAGGGTTCGGTACTATCCGAAGTTTCAGGCATCCACTAGGGGTCTTGGACCATATCCCCAGCAGATAAGGGGGGACTACTGTATCTATATCTGCACTGTGCGATATGGTAACCACTAGTCACATGTGGCTGTTGAGCACTTGAAATGTTCCTACACCAAATTGAGACGTGGTATCACTGTAAAATACACACTGGATTTCAAAGACATAGTACAAAAAAAAACAGTAAAATACCATATTAACATATATTGATAACATGTTAAAATATATTGAGTTACATAAAATATATCATTAAAATTAATTTTACCTGTTTTTATTTTTTAACATAGCTACTAGAAATTTTTACATTACACATGTGGCTCATGTTATATTTCTCTTTGGCAGCACAGCTTTCTAGGGTTCCCATGAAGTAGACTCTACCTGGGATCATGAAAATTTTTAAAGCGTAAATGCTTTGCTTTTATCCATTTTGCTATGATCAAAACTGACTCGGGATTTAAATTAAGGGTGTTTTTTGGGGTTTTTTGACTCATTTCTTAACTTCCTGATCCAGTTCATCTTGATGACCTACTGCAATCCTTCCTCAAAAAGAGACTGAACATGCATTTCTCAGTTATCTAATTCTGTTATAAGGAAATAGGATGAAATCATGTGTCTCTGATTTAGCAACTCACTGTACCGGGAGTAAAATAATAATGACCTTCCTGCCCTAAGCTTCGGTGTATCCAACTAGAATGAAAGGGAAGCTTATATTGCAGCTGAATTCCGAGAATCCCTGAAGAAAAGGACTTTTTAGGGGAGAAGCCCTTCTCTAGGATGAGCAATGAATTTAGAGACTGCTCAGATCAGACAAACCCAGAAATAAAGTAACCAAAAATCGTGAATTTCTGAAGTCTCAGTATCTAGGGCTTATAAGGAGGGGAGAGGGATGCTAGCTAGCATTTCTTGATTATTTAAAAAATAACAACAATAATAGTCACTGGTAGATGTTTAACAATAGCTCTGGTGGAGAGGAGTTCTGATGTGAAGTATTGGCCAATTTCTATGGTGTAGATACTCCTATCACAGCCAATTTCAGCCTGCTGATGGTGACTCAAAAACATTGTTCTAAGCATTTGACATGCAACACCTTAAAACACCTCACAACAACACTCCTGTGAAGTCCTGTTAGCAGTGCCATCTTATAGGTGAGAGAAACTGAGGCACAGAGTAGTTAAGCAACTTAGCCAAAGTTATGCCTCGTGAGTGGTGTAGCTGAGATATGAACCGGAGATCAGCTGGCTTCAGTCTGTTTTCCAGTGTCCTAATCATCATGTGCTGATGCCTTTAGATTTTTAATTATTCAGACCGATAGTAATGTCCCCATTTCAGAGGAAAGCAGCATACATGTGACTTGAATTCTTGGAGGAAAAATAAAAACGATTCTAAAAAGCTATTTGAAAGGTGTGAGCCTCTTGTTCTAGAGCAACGGTTCTCAACCTTCCTCATGCCGCGACCCCTTAATACAGTTCCTCATGTTGTGGTGACCCCCAACCATAAAATTATTTTTGTTGCTACTCTATAACTGTAATTTTGCTGTTATGAATCGTAATGTAAATATCTTTTTGTTTTCCAACAGTCTTAGGCGACCCCTGTGAAAGGGTCGTTTGACTCCCAAAGGGGTCGCGACCCACAGGTTGAGAACCGCTGTTCTAGAGGGGGTAGAACATAGAGGGCAAGAGAAGAGGCTTCCGAGTCAGAAGGCTTGAAGTGAAATCCTGACTCTGCCACTCACTAGCTGTGTGACTTTCGGCAAGTGACTTAACCTCTCTGTGTCTTAGTTTCCTTCTCTGTAAAATGGAGATGATAATAATGATGCCTGCTTTACAAAGTGGTGAGGATTAAATTAGTTAATCCATATAAAGAACTTAGATCAGTGCCTGGCACCTAAAAACACTCAAATAGTGACCATTATTATAAATAGTGACTTATTATCTCTTCATGATTCTGCAGGTCATCGTGCATTCAAAGTGCTCAAAAATCTAATAATAAAGACAGCGTTCACTAAGCATTTTTCTCTGTGCTGATCTCTGCGCTAAGTGCTTTACTTGCATTATCTCATTACTTTCCCACAAACCACAATGTGGTTTAGGTGCTGTAATGCCTATTTTGCAGAAGTAGAAACGGAGCCCCAACTCTCACCCCCATGAAGTTAAGCAGCTTTTGCAAAGTCACGTAATGAGTGAATGTGGTACCTTCAGCTTCTGGCTATCAGAGGCTCCCTAACATCAATTTAAATTCACCAAATCCTAATGGCGATTCAAGAGACCTGTTTTATTTTGTAGGTGGGTGTTTGTGTGGGAAAAGGGCTACCAGGAAATGGACTCTGTTGTCAGCTCAGTTACAACCAAAGCCAAGGGCGTGACTGTGACCAACACTTCTAACCTGGGATTCCGGATCTGGGATGTGGCCGATTATGTGATTCCAGCTCAGGTATGCCGCCCACTCTTAACTGTCTAAAGCTAAAGCCCTCTTTACCTCCTTTCTCTCTGCTGCTTTTGCACACTTGATTAATGATTGGCATGGCCAGCGTTCTAACAACACCAGTGCCCAGACTTGACCGCATTAGTCCAAGAAAGCAGTGCAGACAGATCTCCTTTTGGCTTACGATCTAAGAGGTAACATTCAGTCAGCTCGTATGTTTCTTCAGCTTTAAAACATGGCTGGCTTAAAACACAGAAAGCCTTCCATGTGGACATTTCGTTCTGTCTCAAACCCTGAAAGGTGACAAGGCAAGTGTCTTAAATCCTGGGAAAAAGTCAGGTGGAAATAACACCTTTCCACATTTTGTATTTGCTTTATGGTTATAAACCCACAAGGTAAACCTGTTCAGATAGCCTTGAAAACTTTCAGAGCAACTAGAGACCCAAAGCCAAACAAGGAGGAAACAAACATGCCCGCATAGAATTCCATCAGGAACAAAGGTAAGGTAAGAAAGTGTTTGAGGCAGCATCCTAGGCTCTAGTCTGTTAATCCACAAAGCTCCTAGTTAAATATTGACTCTGTTTCGCCTCGGTAATGGCTGTGTTCCACACAGCCAAACCCCAACATAGCCCTCCAGATGGCTTATGTGCTAGGGTGACTGGGGGGGGGGGGGTTAAAGGCAGATAAGCTGGCAACACTTGGCTCAGAGCTCTGCAAGGGAAAGCAAGGCCTTCAGAAACTCTTTCGTCAAGTGTGTTCATTTTCTCCCTGTCTTCTCAAGAGAAGGGTCTTGCAAGGTTTCCCAGAGAGAAGACCAAGGTAATGAGCCATAAAGGTCAAGTGGATGAAGGGTTTCGTAGTTGGCTGGAGGTAGCTGGTCCTGTTGGCATGCACCTGTCTCAGCAGAGACCTCTGCTTTCTATGCAGGCACAGCCTCATCCTGGCAAGCTCTGGGAATATCACTCAATCTATTTACTAGACCCAAGGAAGGATACGGGTCCCTGGCTTCTGCCCCTCAGTGGCAAGAAACACACAGCGATTCTGCCCGCCATCCTAGATCTGGGTTGGGGGCTGTGTGAGTTCCACAAGCTTCTCTTCATGAGCTCTCATGACGTCCTTTGCTACTGCAAAGGTGGAACACAAACGTCTGTATCACATCTACTTGGCTCATTTCCCTAAACATTAGATTAAAAAAAGCCAACCATATTGAATTGTTCATGCCTCACTCAGGAGAGGCATAGGAGCAGCCTTCTGTAAATACCAGGTAGTGTGTTTACATATGGAACACCTGAGAACCTGACAGGTGCCAGGAGAGAAACTCGGGCCTCATGCCACCTTGGGGGGTCATTTCTTCTCCCAACATGGTTTGTTCTGGGTCTTTCTTTAGAAAATGCCAGCTATTCTCAGAGCTTCCACCACCTCGTCAGACCTGGGGTGGAGATACCCCCAGACAGACCCCTTGGTACTCGAGTTACTCTGTTCCCCAGGTGGCTCCCAGCGCTGCCTCCTACCTTCCCAGGACATGAATGCCGAGAGCAAGCTTCTCACATTTCATTTTAGAATGGAAGTGTCCAAGAGGTGGAGTCCAACTAGAATCTTTGGGGTCTTTGTCTTTTACTCCTTATACCGGGAGGTCATTATTAGCCATTTTCTTCAGTCTCATCCCTAGCAAATTGCTCTTGAATTTATTAGAAACTCTAATAAATGAATCACTTAGCATCTTCATAAGAGAAAACGAAACCTTCTCAAGGGGACAAGTGTCAGTTGCTGACCCTGACTGAGTCTTCTCTAGAATGTTTTATTTATTTTAATTCTGGTTGGGAAAGAAAAATAGCCAAATTTGAGACCTTTGAGGCCTCCTGTTGTTGTACCTCTGAGGTCATCCGGTTGGCAGAGGATGTTTTGAGCACTTGTTGGCTCTTTTCCCTCAATAAATCAAGCTTTATTAAGGAACCATTTTAGGTTATAGACTTTTTTTTTTAATGGAGCTGAAATTTATATATTATAATGTTAATCATCTCAAAATGAAAAACTTGGAGGCACGTAACCATCACTTCAAAATCTAGTTCCAGGGCATTTTCATCTCCCTCAAAGGAATCCCCGTAGTTATTATTAAGCTGTCACTCCCCATTCCATCCTCCCTCTCCCCCCCCAGCAACCACTGATCTACTTTCTGTCTCGATGGATTTGCCTATTTTTTTTTGTTTGTTTTGTTAGCTGAGCCATCCTGCTACCGCAGCTTAGCAGCAGCTCATCTCGGGCCGAGCATCGAACTGCTGTTGCTCAGAGCTCAAACTCTTGAGCGAGCTCTTAACCAACTGAGCCACTCGGCCGGCCCGGATTTGCCTATTCTTGTTTTGTTTTTGTTTTTAGCTGAGCCATCCTGCTACCTGTTGGCAGCTCAGCGGCTGCTCAGCTTGGGCTGGACTCGAACCGCTGTTGCTCAGAGCTCAAACTCTTGAGTGAGCTCTTAACCAACTGAGCCACTCAGCCGGCCCTTCGGATTTGCCTATTCTTAATAGTCCACATCAATAGAATCCTACAATATGTGGTCTTTTGTGATTGGCTTTTTTGACTCATGTTTTTGAGGTTCATCCCTGTTGTAGTGTGTCAGTGCTTCCTTCCTTTTTATGGCTTTATCATATTCCATGTATACTCGTAGGTATAGACCACAATTTGTGTATCCATTCATCTGCCGATAGACACTTGGCTTGTTTCTACCATTGGGCTATTGTGAATAACGCTGCTGTGAACATGCGTCCACAAGTATTTGTTTGAGTCCCTGTTTTCAGCTAGGTTATAAACGCTGAGGAGAGAATGGACGACCATAAGATCAGTTTTTTAAATTCTTTTCTGCTTGGCATGTGGGAGAAGCAAAAGGTGCTATCCTGTTAAACGAACGTGAGGCTTTGTGGCCTTGCTTGGCTCCTCCAAAGGTAACACATCAGTGCTCTCTCCCCTCTGTCCGCTCTGCAGGAGGAAAACTCCCTCTTCATCATGACCAACATGATCATCACCTTGAACCAGACCCAGGGCCGCTGTCCTGAGGTAGGCAGCTTCTTGGGAAGAGCCTCAGGCCTCACTCCCCGCCCGATCCACTGTGCATGGGGCTGCACCACATAGAACTTGTTTTCTCTCATTCTTCCTTCTCCAGATTCCAGATAAGACCACTGTGTGTAAGTCAGATGCTAACTGTGCTGCTGGCTCTACAGGCACCCACAGCAATGGTAGGAACACATGGCTGCAACCCCTTGGTAGACGCTTAGCCTGGGGATGGCAGCCCCGACCTGTGGGCTCCTCTGATAGAGAAATCTCAGGATAACGAAATTCCCCATGTGCCCCAATACCTTCACATGACCTGGGGGAGCCTGGTATCCAAATGGAGGTGTCCCAGCACCCTCCCGACAGTCATCTGTCGTCTGTGCCCCAGAAGCCATCCCCGATCTTGCCCTATGCTGTGGCTTGGTATCACCCTAGCCCTGCGACTGGCAAAACACAGATATGCCTAGGACTCAGGCAGCCATTTGCCTTCGATTCCAATTTGTGGACACTAAATCCCAGAATTGGAATAGCTCCAGACTGATTGCATAGGATGCTATGCTGAGGCTTCCACTCTCTACTTCACAAAAGTAGAAAACAGAGCACCTGTGGACCTGGGTCCTCTTCACCCCTGCAGGAGTTGCAACAGGAAAATGCGTGCAGTTCAACGGGACTGTGAAGACGTGCGAGGTGCAAGCCTGGTGCCCAGTGGAGGATGACACAGATGTGCCCAAGTGAGTCCTGACCAGGGGAAAGAAGTGCCCTAAACTCTGGTTCTCAGGCCTGAGAGAAGGCAGCAGGGTGTGAGCAAAGCCTGGGTGATGTGGTATTGTGCTCTTGGTGTCTGTGAGGTCGGGCTTCCCTGGGGTGGTGATTCTCAACCACAAGGCAGCAACCATCAGTGGCGAGGCGGGTCACGGTATTTGTCTTGATAAGACAGCAGATGACTTATTTCTGTTAGGATTCTGTCAACTGCAAGTCACTGGCAGGAAACAGTTCTCAGTGCCTTAAGTGCCTTAAATCAATTTCTCATACAGAACAAGCCCCCATCCCCATCAGCACCTTGGACAGACAATAATTTTAACTACAACTTTTAGTAATGTTGTTTTGACTTTGTTATATTTATTTGAACGATGATCTCTAACTTGTGGCAAATGGTGTTTTTTATGGCTGCGATGGCAAGTTTCATTTCAAAATGAATGTCAGTAAAAAAGTGAGTTGATCCTAACGGGGGAAACAACCCACATGTTCATCAACAGATGAAGAGATGGCTTGTGCTTCATCCACACAAAGGAATATTATTCAGCCCTAAAAAAGGAATGCCGTTCTGAAACAGGCTCCAACATGGGTGAACCTTGAAAACATGATGCTAAGTGAAAAAAGCCAGACACAAAAGATCCTGTATGCAACATCCATTCATATGAAATACCCAGCATAAATTCGTAGACAGAAAGTAGATTGGTGGTTCTAGAGGCCTGAGAGGAGAACAGAGAGTAACTGCTTAATGGGTACGCAGTTTCCTTTTGGGGTGATAAAAATGTCCTGGAACTAGATAGAGGTGATCACGGCTGCACAACACTGAGTGTGCTAAATGCCACTGAAAGTGGCACAGATGTGGGGGAGAGGTTATGGTATAGAGGATGACAAAAGTTTGAAAAACCCTGATATAATCCATCCCCTGGATACACGGATGAGGGAATTTGAAGCCCCGAGAGATGTACTGGCTTGTCGGAAAAGTCATGACGCATTTTTGCAACAAAAAAACAGAAAAAATACATCATGACTTTTCCGACAACCCAATGTTTAGCTGGTCTTTAGGTCAAGGTCTTCAGCTGTCTGCAGAGCTGACAAGCTCAACTCTCCGCAGTGTGTGGCCTTGTCATTGGCCTTGGTCTTGTCTCAGGGTTGGGAAGGCTACTGTTTATAATTTCAAAGATTGCATCTGGGTCAAGGGGAGGCATCCCCCATGGAGGGGTCAGCGTCCAGCACCAGATTCTCCTGTCGAAATCCACCAAAGAAGTGGGGTCCCCTTGGCGACAGATGCCACTCATATTGTCAGCCAGGAGCTGACGTGGCACTTCTGAGGAGGCTGTGGGCCAGCGGACACCACTTTTTCTGTATTTTTGAGAGGTCAGGATCCAGCCTGTAGGTGAATATACGTTTACTGTGGCTGTTTAAAAACCAGGTCTATTGAGCGTTCCCCTGAACCCCAACAGCTGAGTGACTTCCAGTAAGGCCAGTCCTTCGCAGTTCCTCAGGCACTTCAATCCCACTGCCTTGGGCAAGAGGCCATGAGAGAAGAACCCAGAAGGCTTGGTCTGTTGCCTCCTTTCTTGAGGACAGCAGAAAATGCTAGAAATGTTTCACTATTTTTTTGACAAAATGACATTGTAAGACACCTCTGTATATGTTTTTGAAAAATATTCCTTAGGTATGTGAGTATACGTATATTGGTACTTATATTGATAACAATATATTATAATTAACAGTGTATTATAATTTTTTTTCAGACCTGCTTTTTTAAAGGCTGCAGAAAACTTCACCCTTTTGGTTAAGAACAACATCTGGTATCCCAAATTTAATTTCAGCAAGTAAGTCGTGGCCAGCTGTGGGAGTTCACCAGTGTTTTGGAGCAACTTCTGGCTCTTTTTTTTTTAAGAATTTTCTCGCTTCTATTTTCTGCTTCCTCCCGACTTTAGGAGGAATATTCTTCCCAACATCACCACCACCTACCTCAAATCATGCATTTATGATGCAATAACCGATCCTTTCTGCCCCATATTCCGTCTTGGCAAAATAGTGGAGGCGGCAGGGCACAGCTTCCAGGACATGGCCGTGGAGGTAGGCACAGGCCCTGGCTTTTCTCACACAGCCTTTGACTCGTCTTGTTTCCAGAACGGGCTCTGAGGAAAGCTTACTCTGTCCCTGCTCGCAACCCACAGGGAGGCATCATGGGTATCCAGATCAAATGGGACTGCAACCTGGACATAGCTGCCGCCTCCTGCCTGCCCAAGTATTCCTTCCGCCGCCTGGACACCCGGGACATGGACCACAACGTGTCCCCCGGCTACAATTTCAGGTGGGTGTGAGCCTGGGCCCTGTTTCTCATGAGTTTGGGGTGATGGTGGCGGGATCACTGCCCAGTGGGGGGAAATCCACACCCACCAAAGACCAGCGCTCAGGCAGCCTCCCAGGGAAGCGGCATCCTGGCCCGCAAGGGCCTTCCTTGCCTCAGGAAACATGGTGAGACAATTTGCAGAGCAGCCAAGAGAGGCTAGCTGCTTTAGCTTTCTCGAGCCAGCCTCAGCCAGGACCTCCACTCACTGACTTTGAGGAGTGGATGAGCCTGTGACCCTCCGGTCCCAAGGCCTCTGGGGCCTGACCCAGGAATTCGTTTCTCAGAGACTCAGCCCGCCCCCCGGAATCTCCAACGTGCACAGGATTCGGGTTTTAGCCTCAGGAAAAGCCTTCGCTGGTATTGCCCTGCTGAAAGTGCTATGTATTAGTTTCCTAGGCTTGCGGTAACTGATGACCATAAACTGGGTGGCTGGAAACAACAGGAATTCATTCTTTCACAGTTCTAGAAGCCCCAAATCAAGGTGTTGGCAGGGTCAGGCTCCTTCCTGGCCTCTTCCAGCTTCTGGTGGCTCCTGACAATCTTTGGTAATCCTTGGCTGGTAGACACATCACTCCAATCTTCTGTTATCGCATGGCCTTTCCCCCTCTGTTGTCTGTACCTATGTCCTCTCTTCTTGTAAGGACACTGGTCATATGGATTCAGGGCCCACCCTGATGACCTCATCTTAACTAATTACATCTGCAAAGACCCTTTTCCAAGTATGGTCACACTCACAGGTTTCAGATAGATATGAATTTGCGGGATGGAGGGAGGTGGGCGGGGAAACAGTATTTAACCTAGTACAGCTGATAATCTGATGATTGGGCGAGGAGCCAGGGTCACATCTGTCACTTGCTTGAGGCAGTAAATCTGTAGCCACGTACATTTTCACATGCCTTTTGTTGTGTCCTTCACACACATAGCCAGTCTTAAAAATAGGTCCCTCGAGGGGCCACTGCAGTAGGTCAGTGGTGCTTTTGTGTTGCACTTGTCTCCCTCTAGTGGTGACGCACGGAATCAAATGCATGTAGGATCTGCTGCCCTTTTTTTTTGCGGGGGGTGGGAACCATCTGGTCATTGTTAGGACAAATACTGGACTTTTTTCCTAGTACGGAGTTAGATTTGTGTTGCTCTGTCTCTGCTGTTATATAGTTCTTGTAGAAACCGCTGTGGAAAACCTCAAGCTTGGGCTGGAACCCCAGAACAGAGAGAAGCCGATGGGGCCCTCATGAGAACACCCATCCCCCGACCTCCGCCAGCATCAGGCCCGCCTGAGTTCCCCAGGCCTGGACCATGACGTGGAAGTTGTGGGCAGGACCGATCGTGGGCAAAAGTTTAGGCTCCTGGTGGATCCCCTGCGTAAAATGGGGCAGCAAATAGTGTCATGTCTTCATGGTCCTCCACCATTTCGCCTCATGTTTTTTACTTAATGGCTTTATTGATAAATAGTTCACACACCAGACAGGTCACCCATTTAAAGTGTAGAATTCAGTCACTTTAGTATATTCAGCGTTGTGCAACCATCACCAGTCAATTTTAGAACATTTTCATCACCTCCAGACATTTCCATCACCCACATGTACCCTTTAGCTACCACCTCTCCAAACCCATCTACCCCAGCCCCTGGCGACCGCTAATCTGCTTCGCATCTCTATGAATTGGCCTCTTCTGGTCTTTGATATGAGTGGAATCATACAATATGTAGCCTTCTGTGGCTCTTCCGTCATTTAGCATCATGTTTTTTTGAGGTTCATTCTTGTAGCACTCATCAGTACTTCTCTTGTTATGGTCAAATAATATCCCATTGTGTGGATGTACCACGTTTTATTTATCCATTCGTCTATCGATGGATCAGTAATTCTTTAAAAAAAAAAAAAAAAAGTCCAATGACGATGCTGTGAGTTTCGTGACCAGTGTGGTTCCCCGGCCGTCTTGGAGCTTGCTGCTGGCTGGCCACATCCTCTCCGTTAGGTGCCAGGGTCTCCTTGAGAGAGGCAGGTGGCTCAGCCGTCAGGAAGGAAGGACATTCAGAGCAAGAAGCTCCAGCTTAAGCCTTACCGATAACAGAGCTGGGAACCCTGCGGGCCCTGGTGCCCTCTTTGTCCTCCTGCTGCAAGACCCGGGAGCTGGGAGAGGCCCTGTGATGCTCAAAGGTCGTCTGTTCAGTAGGCAGAGTGCGTCTGTGGCCAGTGCCTACTCTGCAAGGGCCTGGTGAGGGGGCTTCCACTGGAACATCCCTTGCCTGGTCCCTGAGGGTAGGTCCAGCCACTGTCTCACGCCGGCCAGGGCCTTTTCCTCTCATCTGTCCTCCTGTCCCCAGGTTCGCCAAGTACTACAATGACCTGACGGGCGCCGAGCACCGCACGCTCATCAAGGCCTACGGCATCCGCTTTGACATCATTGTGTTCGGAAAGGTAGCCTGGCCACCGAGTCCTCTCTGCAGACCCCACTCATCCTCCTCTAGGCTGGCCGCCAGCAAGGGGCCCTCTCCCCGCGCTCCATCTGCTCTCACCCACCCCTATTTCAACTCTTTCTTCTTTTTCTCCCGTCATTTGCAGGCTGGGAAATTTGACATCATCCCAACCATGATCAATATTGGCTCCGGCTTGGCGCTCTTTGGGGTGGTGAGTGACATAGGCCTCTCCATTTGCCCCCCCCAGGGCTGGGGCCCTCCTCCGCGGTCATTAGCACAGCGCAGGATAACGGCCTAGTTCTTCCACTTGGCCTTCTGGGCTAGTTTCCCTTCACCCCATCACACCTGCCCACCTTCCCTTCCTGAAGACTGTACCCCTCAGGGCCTCGCTTTCTCCCGGGAGACGGAGGAGGCTTGCTTTTCCTTGAAAGATTCCAGGCTCTGTAGGAATTACAGGGACTAAAGCATCCTGGCTCATTCTTTCTCACCCTGTGCTCCACTCAGGCGACGGTACTGTGTGACGTCATAGTCCTCTACTGCATGAAGAAACGATACTACTATCGGGAGAAGAAATACAAATATGTGGAAGATTATGAGCAGGTAGGCCACCTCCTGAACTCCGCAGGCAGGACGGTCCAAATACAAAGGTTGGCGCCATGGAGATATGTCATCAGCCCAGGACACACACCTTAGCATCTGCTCCATTTCCAGACCATCTGCGCTAGTATTTACTTCATACATTTCTTCAGATGGACTCTCTCTTTAAAATCGAGCCTCATTTTAATTAGTGACATCTCAGGTTAGTTATGATAATGGATATTCTGACAAAATCTATGTCCACACACTACTTAAATTCGCCTTGCATAGCAAGAGGGGTTGGGGCTTTGAGACCCCTGCACTAGGACCCGCTTAAGGACATGCTGTTGGGAAGGGCTGTCCAAAGTCCTCAGGAAAAGTGTCTGGCTCTCGCCAGCCCCAAGTGCTCCAGCTTGCCTGCGAGCAGCGTAAGGTAGGTGTACATTTATCCATAAGCATGTCCATTAACAATAAGCTGATCGTTCTTTGCAGGGCCTTGGCAGTGAGATGGACCGGTGATGCCGACCCCACACCTGGGCTCCCCACGGCCCTCATCAAAGCAAAGTGGAGAGCAGAGAGAAGGGAGAAAAGGCTGCCATGGCACCCCAGAGAAAGTTCCAGATTGAGTCAGTCTCCACTCCACAAGCACTTCTGGGTTGCCCAGCTCTTCCTATGTTTGTGTTGTAGGATTTGTATAGGAAAGCGCTCTGCAGCGGGTTACTGGTCTGTCCTTGGCTGGGTCACCTCTGTTGTTTCTTCAACTTAGGGTCCTTCCGGTGCGCTACAGCCCAAGGGCAGTGGCTGCTGTGGCTGCAGGGCTGGGGCCTTCTCCAGGGCCGGCTTTCCTCAAGCTCCCCTCTACAGCCCCCTGCAAGACAGACCGAGCAGCTCCGACCCAGTGCTTCATACAGAAAGCAAGGACACTTGGGTGTGGTCACTAGTTTTGCAGCTGCAAAACGGGCTGCTGTTCCTTTCCCCCCAACCAGAGACTGTCCATGAGGCAGAGTTAGTGTTTCTCTTTTGAGAAGAGCTATGTTGAGATGACAGAGGACCAAACATTAAACGATTTTCTTCATCTTTGTCTGTGTAGTTTCATAGCATGAGCTAGAACTTTTTTTCTACTTTCTGTTTTACTTTAACCAGTACATCCATTTGTTGTCCCAGCTCACTGTGCTCAGAAAACGTTCCTGAAAGTTTGTTGCTGGAACTTAGGCATTCCCCCCCCCATTTCAACGTTCTTAAAGGCTTAAGAATTTTGGTCTTCGTATAGAGTTTGTAAGATTTTTTTTTCCGATTGTGACAACTTGCCTTACCTGTGCTTACATTTTGCCTAAAATTGTGGTCCTACACTCTGGGCAACACAATTTTAGGCTTATCCCCCCGCTCCCCATTTGCTTCCCAGAAGTCTCCATCCAAAAGCAGCACCACCTACACCTACCTTGCCACCGGTTTGAAAGGTTAATGAAGCTATTTCTAGCTTAGCCTTCGCACCGACTTATTTCTGCATCAGGCGTTCAGGATCTCCCTAAAGAAAGCAGCTTGCCTTCCCCTTCATCATGAATTAATTTCCAAGTACGGAAGGAACATTTATTTTTAAAGTGCTCTGCTTCTGTTGGATAAAAGACCAACCTGGGCTTTTGTTGCTCTTGGGGGAGGAGGGAAAAAGTTTACTGAACCCCTTTGAAAAAGCTGTGGTTCATGTTGCCTTTTTGAAAAATGCCCGCTTGAACACACAGGTCAAGTAGAGCTGGAATTTTTAGATATGGCTTCTGATCTTGCAGGCTAAGGAGGGATGGTTACTGGAGGGGGGTTGACTCCTTTTAGCCTCCCCTTTTCAAAGACAGAACGCTAAGGCCAGTATGGGGTGAGGGATGGGGGTGGCATTGCTTATTTTACTCACCAAAATCATCTTGCGTTCAGGTGCACCCCACTTGTTGGCTCCCTGGTGCTGCCTCTTCATTTGGGGTCCTTCAACCTTGTATCCAGGGATGGGCTTCCGGGAGTCTCTGAAACCTCCAGAACGCTGCAGAGTAACGCACCTGTGTACGTTCCTTTAGCTTTCATCAGGTTCCCAGTGGGGTCTTTAGCAGGAATACCTGCTCTTAACTCTCAGAGGCCAGTTTCAGTGTTGTTTCTGCAGCCATGGGACAGGAGTCTTTCAGACTTCATCTGCTGTCCTTTGAAAACTGGGGCACAAAGCCAGTGAGGCGATGCCAGGGGCTAGACTGACATTGGGAATGCAGGAAACCACTCAGCCTCTAGTCCAGTGGGAACATTCATTCTAAAATGGTCTCCAGACGCCATGAAAACCAGCACCCATCGAGGCGCTCTGGCACGCTGGTGTTGCTGACAAACTCACACAGAGCCCTGGGACAAAGCACTTAACTTTTCTGAGCCTGTTTACACGTGATGATCCATAAAATGGGGTTAATACTCTACCTCGTGGGGTGAAGGGTCATGTAGCATGCCTGCCCACAGGACCTGTTCAATGTGATTAAAACTGCTCCCATGGGGGCCGGCCGAGTGGCGCGATGGTTAAGCACTGGCTTGGGACGCCAGAGGGCCCCGGTTCGGATCCCACATATGAGGGCCAGTGACACTGCCCTCCACAGCTAAGATGCTGAACAACAGCTCAACCTGGAGCTGGGCTGCCGTGAGTTGCCGGCAACGGCGTAGGCTGCAGCCCCTGCTGTGGGTTGCCATGGGCTACTGTGTGTAGCCAGCAGCCAGCGTGAGCGGCCAGCAGCTGCAGTGAGCGGCCATCCAGAAGCCGGCGACTGATCTGCCTCTCCCAGGAAGAGCGCAATGATGGTACCAACTTGGGCCAGTGAAGCAACATCCTCCACAACTAGACTGAAGAACAAAACGACAGCAACTTGTCTGTTCCCCTTCCCCCAATTCCCCAGCACTGTTTCCATCCCCCCAATTCCCCAATAAAAACCTTTAAAAAAAACAAACAAACAAAAAAACTGTTCCCATGGTTGCCCACAGGTTTGCTCTTCGCCAGAAGAATCTAGCAATTACCTACCTGCTAGAGCAGGACTCCTCAAACTTTAGGGTGCAGGTGAGCCACCTGGGAAATCTTGTCTAAGTGAGGCCTGGGGATCTGCATTTCTAACCTGCTCCCAGGTGATGCTGACACTGCTGGTCCAGGGATCACACTTTGAGTAGCAAGACACTAACTAGGACATGCTTAAATTAGCACCGAATAATGTAATTAGCCCTGACTTGGGCATCTGATCTTGCCGTCAGCCTAAGGAAGGAAAACAGACATTACGAGAGATGTCCTAGGTGGCACGCTGACTTCAACGACAACCAACAGAAAAACCCCAGAGGCCCAGGCTTTGCACCATTTTGCTGTCTGTTTATTTCAAGTTTACAGAGAAGCTTAAACATCTGTGGAAAAACACCAAAGGCTTATTTTTCTCTTAAGTTCATGTATTCTTTTTTAAGTGATAAATACACAGTATTTAACTTTGTACACCTGATAAAAAGGAAAATGCATAGTAGAAAGGATCAGGAATAAACAGAAGCATCGGGCAGTAAATCAATCAACCACAGAATAGAAAAGTCAGCAGTCCCACGAGACTCAGCCCATAAAGCTGGAGAGAGGATGGGAACTGACAACCTTGAAACCTTCCGTAGCACCTTAGAAGCAAGTGGAGGTCATCGTTCTCCCCCCCTCCCCCCCCCCGGCAACGTGAAGCTCCCCTTTGGAAGATGGGTGAGAGTGACAGGTCAAGACTATGTGTCTAAACACACAGGTATTCGCCTCCTTGTCCCAGAAAGGCTTTGAGGACGGGAGCCCTAATGCACGGGAAAGGCTGCACCAGTGGGGAGACAACCTCTCCGGTCCCCAGTGCCGACAAGGGGCTAGATAAGGCTTTATGGAAGCCACTGGTAAGCCTGCGGAATAGATGGGGGTAGTAGAACAGGGCAGAAGAAAGATGGGGAGAGAACCTGTGTCTCCTTCAAGGCGACAGGTTGCTTACACCAAATTGGGCCCACAGATGAGCCAGCAATGGAGGAAACTGATGGGCACCCTTTTTTGCTCACCGGAAAAAGCTGCTCCTAACAGCGTCTCCCCTTTCCTGATAGAACTGGCTTTTTATAAAATCGTTTGTGCTCCAAGAGAGGGGTAGCTAATGCTTTGTGTTACAGCCCCCTCTCTGCTTATACGTTTTGGGGGCGGCAGTTCCTCTCCACAGCTTTCTTTGGTGTTTCTTTGTTAAAAAAAAAAAAAAAAAGTTATGAACTTGGGCCTCCCTCTACCCACCCCCCTAAACAGTTGGGTGCTGCCTGATGGCTGGCATTCCACATATGAAACCTTCCGGAGAGTTTCATGGGGGAGAAATGGCATTGCCCGATGCGGTCATGTAAACACAGATTTGCAGAAGCTCTGCATGCTGCTCACCCTCCCCGGGGCGAGCCACTCAGCCAGGCCAGAGTCCACACAGACAGGCTGGGATGAAGACCAAGGACCGGCTGGCTTTCACCACTGCAAGGTGCTTATTGTGTACTAACCAGACCCAATCTGCTCCCAGAGGGGGCAGGGCCCATAAATTTAAACAAGTGCAGGAAGACAAGAGGAAGTACTAGGTCACGGGGAAAAAAAGAAAGCAGGCAAGAGGACCCTCCATCAGACGGGTGTCCTTTGCTCTTGGAAACCAGCAGTCCCTAATTCTGTCCTGTTTATATGACAGCAAGAAAAGTCTGGCTACGATAGTCAAGAGCTTATGAAGCTAGATCTACGGAAGCCAAGAACGCCTGGGCTCTGCGAACACGCTGAGCAGGGGAGCACAGGCCTGCCTTCTCTGTCTCTGCAAAAAGGCCTCGTACCAATGCTGATCAGACAGAAACCACAGGAAAGCATGTCCGAGCCCAGTAACTCTTTCCACCAAGCCAGACTCACAAAGCACTGGGAATCTCCCGGGGCAAAGTCCTTCCAGTTTCCTACCCCTTGAACTTCAGACTCACCCATGTTTGGCTCTGGAAGAAGTTGCACTTGAACTGCAACCAAACTTCCCAATGTTAGGTGGAAGTCAAAAAAGTAAACCTGTTCTCTCTGGACTTTTGGCTACAGAAGGGAACATCCTATGCCAAGCCCTGGTTCCCTTGGACCCTAAGGGGTGCTCTGGATTTCAACAGTCTTCTCCCAACGGGTACCCCGAAGTGCATATGTTGATCCTAACAGAGCTTTGCTGGTAAGGATGATCATTTGTGTCTCGGTCGAATGAAAGTATTTTCTAATTGGCCCTCCAGAAACTGGATTAAGTGTTTCACTAACGATAGCACTCAGCTAGAATTTAAGAAGAAAACAAAAACCTTAGCAGTCTCTAGGATACACACGTTATAAACAAGCTAAGCTGCTAATGTACAAGCGTAGGTTTCATTGGCATCTAACTCCATTCCATGCCTGAAGCTGTGGCCTATATCCTGGAAGCTCTAAGTGATTGCTGAACTACTCTTGGAGTTCAGTCTAGTTGGAGAATTGAAAAATTGTGTTTTCCTCTTAAGCCATGTAATGTACATGGAGGTGTAGGTTTCGCCCTGAAGTTTTTGGAATTGAACAAGAGATTTACTGAGAGCTCTGTCAAGTCTTTCAGAAACCCGCTTTAAGTGGCTGTCATAAACGCAACACGTCTCCCACCACAACCACCAAATGCCCTTCTAGGGTTGGAAAATCCCCTGTGGGAAGCAATGAAAAGTCAAGCCCTTTCTGTTTTCCTGACGACAACTCTAGCCATAGAAAAATGTTAAAGTTCTTCTTACAAATAAGTTGCATCAAAACTCCGTGCAGCTGCTGAGGGCTAGCCCTGCCCTGACTCCTGAGTCCAGGGTTCTGGAAGGTGGCGTGGTTCAACGTTTGGGGATTGCAGAAGTCACACGCACTCTTCCACTCCTTTTCAAATGCAGCCACTAACTCTGTGGTGTCAGACCACGCCCCACCCCCACCCCTCGGAGTTTTCTGCCAGTTTTTCACGATTTTCAAACCCCATACACATTCACTTGGTATATCTGGCATGATTTTGAGTTCACAATGAAGGATTTTTTGGCATAAAAAGGTTTTTAAAATGCAACTGCCCCAAAATGCAAGTGACTCTGGGTCTGCAACTCCTCACACCCGCCTGTTCAGCCAGCCAGCGGCCAAGGTCGATGTCAGAGTCATCTTTTTTGTTTGTTTGTTTGTTTGTTTGTTCCCTTTAAAACAACAAAGGAAAAAAAGAAAACACAACCAGAGATGATGGCCAAGGCTCTACACACGTGCTCGGTTTCCGTAGGACATGCTGCTATGGAAACGCAGGGTGCGCAGCCCTGGAGGTGAGACGCCAGCATGCGAGGTCGCGGTCCCGCAGCTACTCCATCGCCTCATCTGGCCGATGCATGCGTGCGCGGCAGCTGGGGGCCTGGGCCCCCCAACCCTCCACGCGGGGACCTCCTTTCACAAGAGTACTTCCTCTTCCCCCACGGGGGGTGGCTCGGGGCCCCGGAGGCCGTCTTCGCTGCCTTGCTTCCTGCTCACGGAACAGAAAACCTACGTTAGGACCGGGGGCAACACTGGCACAGCCTTGCACCAACGTCTCCCTGTTCCCGCGCCGCCGGGAATGTTCTTTACTTCACCTACTCTTTTAGATTCTCTCCCCTTTTTTTCTTACTTATTACATAAGTTTCAAAGGAGACTTTGTATCCCCTCTGTAAATGGAAAACCAGCATCATTTGCCAAAAATAGCAAGGAGCTATAAATAATGTATCTGCCTAACACCTAAAATCACGGCACATGTTAAGTACTGTGTGGGCTCCACTTCTGCGCCTGAGGTTTTTTTAGGTGTCTCCACTCCTTCCCACCCCCACACCACACATGCCCTTTAGGCTATAAGCTCTTGCAGGGCAAGAACCATGACACTTGTCTTCAGTCACCAAGTGAGCTCCTTGGGCACAGCCAGCAGGACTACCTGGGCTTGGCCTGGCACATAGCCAGCCTTCAGGAAACAGTTGTCAACAGAAGTGCCCCAGCACACAGGCCTAAGGGACACCTCGGACAGAGAGAAGGAAGGGCCCTCCTCTCGGCAATGTGAATGATCAGAGCAGGAAGGACCAAGGTGATGGGAGGAAAGGTGACCCTGTGTCTTGGAGAAGCCATATCCCAAAGCACCCCAGCTGGAGCTGCCTGGGGGACAGACATGCAAAGTGATGGGAGATGTGAAGGCAAATCCTTAAGGAGAGGCCCATGCCCTTTGCCACCATCAGGCAAAGCTGCCTCCCCTAAGGGGAGCCACGGCTTGTCACACAGGACTAATGGGCACTGCGTGCCCCTAGCCAGAAGGGACACGGCCCCTGCGAGAGAAAGGAAAGTGTGAAGTCTGTACAGTCCTAGGAAGAAAGCCCTCTTTATCTAAAAATCACACTCCTTGGCTTTATGTTTCTGCCAGAGAAGAGGGGGTCAAGTCTCCCGAGGAGGAGATCTGTCACTAGATGCCCAAACAGGTCCTCAGTTTCTGCCCTAGCAGCTGCCTGCTCCTACCAGCTGGTCTTGCTGCAGACAGATGGCAGCTGTGGGACCAAGGCCTCCAATGACTGACTAAGCCCTATAAGCTTGAGTGCTGGACCATTTCGACAAGCAGAGCATCCCACTCATGGGGTGAGGGCAAGGGCAGGTAAGCCCCAGGTGCTGCCAGGACTGCAGGTAAGGGAATAAAGGGGCAGTAAAGCTCTTTAGGCCAATCTCAGTCTGTTGGTGTCTTGCAATTTTGATCTCATTGAAAAAACAAAAATGAGACTTGCTCACAGATGGGAAGCAAACCCTAAAACAGGTTGAGAAGAGAAAGGCCAAGCAAAGACCAGCCCACTACATTTCCACTCCCTGTCACCCTGTGAGGCTCAAACTGTAGGCGGGACCACCGTGTCATCTGGCTGCACAGACATCTGGGAAAATCCGGCAAGGACTAAGTCTGCCTTCTCAGGCTGTTGATGACTGGCACTGAATGCTAATTGCCGCTGTCCCTGCTCCAGTAAAGCGTAATCACAAAACAAGTGTTCCTCCCATGTTACCGTATAAGCCCCCGACTCCTATGGTGTAGCTGGCCAATAAATTTCCTCTCGTAAGCCAACTGCTAACACACAGAAAAAGCTGCTGCTCATACAAGAATGCTTATGGCCGCATTACTCATTCGTGATAGTCAAAAAGTAGAAACAGTGTCCATCACCAGATGAATAAATAAAATGGGGTCCCTTCATATGTAATATTATTCAGCCATAAAAAGGAACGAAGCACTGACACGCTACACCATAGATGAACCTTGAAAACATGAAGGCAAGTGAAAGAAGCCAGACACAAAAGACCACATACTGTGTGATTCCACTTATATGAAGTGTCCAGAATGGGCAAATCTGTAACATCTAAAAGTGGTTAAGGGGAACTGGGGAATGGGGGCGTTTGAATGTTGCGGGGTTCCTTCTGGGCTTAATGAAATGTTTCTAAATTTGATGTTAGTGAGGGGTCGCACAACTCTGACTATACTAAAAACCATTGAATTATACACTTGAAACGGGCAAATTGTATGGGATATGAAATATAAATAGCTGCTTTTAAGTCATAGAAATGGCTACCGGGAGCTCCCGGCTGAGGTTGAGATGGTAAATTGGGCACAGTGAGAAAAGTACTGGGACTGCCACCCTGCCACGGGCACTGGGGGGATGAGTGGCAGAATGGGTGCCAAGTATGTGTCACCTCCATCTTACAGGGACAAACATTCTCATCTGTCCTGGGAGGTGCTGATGACAGTTTGGAAGAGGGATGGCTGACCGGGGCGCAGGACTCACACTAATTTGCAGCAGGCTGGAAGGGGACTTGTTTTCTAGGTCTTAACCCATCAGAAAAGGACAGAAGCTGCAGAGTCACAAGGGACAGCCACAGAGTGCAGTATGCCTGATCTATGCCCTGACCACGCCGACCCAGAGCAGGGGCAGCCACGAGGCCCTGTGACAGAGTTCAATGCCACTGACATGCCCTGAGTAGATGTGGGTGCCCGACTGGGTCGTAAGACCTTGGTGAATTCACAGGCAGTCCGGGTGCAGCGCCATGCACCCGCAGCCCCAGCTCACATGCGCGGCCCACCATCAGATCCAAGCCCCTGGGTGCCCCTCATTTTCATCCTGGGTCCAGCGGCCCAAGGTGGACCCTGGGCACAGCAGGAAGGAACGTCCGCCTGGGTGGGGAGGCCCCGTGCTCTGCAGCTGCCCCCGCCCCCAGGCCCCAGCAGAGGCTACTGCGCAGGCAGGCAGGCGTTACCTTGGGCTCAGAGAGGGGCTCCCACTCCCTGGTTGGTTTTTTGCTAGAATCACCAGACGGGGGGGAAAAGGGAAGTGAGAAGGGACACTTGGGATCCATAGGACGCCACACCCCCACCCGAGATACTCAGACCCCAAAAACGAGCATCACAGAGCTGTTGCCAGGGCGGTCCTGAGTAGGACTCCGCTCTGCCATGACACGTAGGGTCCCATGAGTGACACTGGCTTGCTCACCCAGCACAGGGCGAAAAACCCCACCATCGAGCACACCTGCTTCTAAGCCACAAAAGTGCGGATTGTTGAAAGCCCCCAGATAAAGTGCAAGTCCCCCGAGAAAGGTAAAACTTCAGGGTGGATGAGCTATCAGCAAATGGAGGCAGGCTGAGCCCAAGGTGGGTGAAGCCACAGCCAGCAGCTGCTGACTTCCCCAGTTGAGTCGACGCGTCTGGTCTGGGTCTTTCCAGATGGTACCGCTCCAGGGATGGGCCCAGGCAGAGTGGGCTGAACAGGGCTGCCCGGTATTCAGCCTCCAGCTCCCCACCCCACAGGAAGACAGGTGGACACTCACACGAGCAGGTTTCCAGGTGCTGAAAACGAGCGCTCCTCCCGCCGGCTGCCCTCAAACGGGTTCCCAAAGGAGCGTTTTCGTATCATGGTCTTGACCAGGATCTGAAGGAGAGAAGCGGAGGCTCAGCCACCCGGGAGGAAAGGATTCCAAGCAGCATCCTTCCTCATGACGCTCTACAAATGCCGTCTCCCTCTTCCTTCCTCCCCCAGCCCCTTGCCAGCTCCCAGGGCTTGTGGCTGATGGCAGGCCTTTGGGGGACACTGGCCAGCATCCTTTCCACCCAGGATACAACAGCCAAAGCCATCACCATGTCTGACTGGTCCTCTCCCAGAAACCTTCCATGGCTCCCTGCCTGCCAACAGGGTAAGGGTCCAGGCTCCTTGGTCTGACATTCAAGGCCCGTCATAATCTACTTAACCCCCAGGGGACCCTGTACTGCAGGAGAGCTGACCCACACTGTTCCTCTAGTACCTCTATACCATCTGCCTCATCTGAGCTATCTCTGGATGGACCCTCCTGGTTCAACGACCTGTCTCATATTCAAGGCACTGAATATATTCAGTTAAAGCCATCTACGACCACCCCAACGAGAACCAACTATTGCTTCCCAGGTGTAATTTGGGGGAGAGGGGCTGCATTTTTTTTAACTGAAATATTATTCCCACGGCATAAAGTTCACCATTTTAAAGTGTACAATGTCACGTTGTGTAGTATATTCCTGTCACCACTATCTAATTTCAGAACATTTCCATCACCCCAAAAAGAAACGCTGTCCCCATTAACAGTCACTCCCTACTTCCCCTCCCCCCAACCCCTAGGATTCACCCATTTGTTTTCTGTCTCTGTGACTCTATCTATTCTGAACATTTCATATGAATGGAATCCTACATTATGTGGCCTTTTGTGTCTGGCTTCTTTGGGTCAGCATCATGTTTTCGAGGTTCACTCACGTTGTGTCAGCACTTCACTCCTTTTAATAGCTGCATAATACTCCTTTGTGTGGATATATATTTTCTTTATCCCTTCATCCGCTGGTGGACATCTGAATTGTTTCCACTTTGGGGCTATTGTGAATAATGCTGCTATGAACATTTGTGTCCAAATTGTTGTGTGGACATATGTTTTCAACACAAAATGTTTCCATTTCTCTTGGGTGTATAACCAGGAGTGAAGTTCTTGGATCCTATGTAACTCTATGTTTAACTTTTGAGGAACTGCCAGACTGTTTTCTACAGTGGCTGCACCATCTTCCACTCTCACTAGCAACATCCAAGGATTCCATTTCCTCAGGGAGCTGCATTTTAGTCAAGAATACGAAACATCTGACCAAGTGGAAGGCGCTGAGGGAAGCTCCCAAGACACTGAGCCTAGCCAGTCCACAGGGTGGTGTGGTGTGACGGCGCTGGAGCTCAGAGGTCCCTCCAAAGGTCCTTTTAAGTCTGAGAGGCACTGAGGGCTGGCCTGTCCATTGCCAGGAGTAGGAACTCTTTGGTGCGCCCCCCTCAACCACTCTAACGCACACCAGGTCTGCAGCTTGGTTGGGAAACACCTACCTCAGGAGAGGATCCTTTGGGAAAAGGTAATAGCCCTTAGCTTCCCTCCTCTGCCTCCCAGCCCTCCACCTCCCCCAGCCAATCTGCCCCAATCCTTTCGGAAACCCATCTGATCCCCTCACTCCCTGATGTAGAAGCTCTCACCCATAGGAGTTTGGAACTTATCCTGTTGCCAGCCAGGGAGCCATGGAAGGTTCTGGAGCAAGGGAGTGAACCAGTTACCTCTAGTGATGCTTTTGGCTGCTGTAGGCCGTGAAGGAATGTTCAAGGAAATGACCTCAACACCCCATAAGGGTCTGGCCCCTTCCCCGCCTCAGGAAGAGCATGGCGCCTCCTCAAGCTATTTCACGTATTGACTGAGATTCCGATTTGTTTAAGGGTTTGCTGCTAAGAAGATAAATGTTTTAAAAAAACATGATTAAAAAAAAACATGATTTACCATTTGGGTGGAAACACCCAAATATCCAACAGAAAAATAAACAAAAAGTAGTCTATCCACACAATGGAATATTATTCAGCCATGAAAAAGGAATGACGTGCTACAATGTGGGTAAACTTCAAAAACATTACACTCAATGAAAAGGCACCAAGGGCCCCATGTTGTACGATTCCCTTTGTATGAATTGTCCAGAATAGGCAAATCTGTAGAGCCAGAAAACAGACTGGTGGTTGCCAGGGGCTGGGGGGAGGAAAGAATACAGTATGAGGACAGGGTTTCTTTTGGGTGATGATATTCCAGAACTATTGAAGTGATAGTTGCATAATATTGTAAATGTAACAAATGCCACTGTATTGTTCGCTTTAAAATGGTTAATTTTATGGTACATGAATTCTATATCAATAAAAAAGGAGAAAGAAAAGAAAACCACTGACTTAAAGAATGAAGGCCATGCCCCTGGCAAGGCCCTCACGGTCCCTCCCTGACTGAGGACCGTGCTCTGTGGTTTCCGGAACACACCTGCCCCTCTCCTCTGGGCCTCTGAGGTGTCACCCCCCTGGCAAGACCACCCTCCCTGCCCCTTCCCTGTGCCCTTGTCAAGCCAGCTAACCCTTCCTACCCTCAGAACCCAGCGAAAGGAGCTGCCCTGGCTCCTCTCTGAGCTGGCCTGTCACCATGTGATGGCACAGGAGAGGGATTCTTTCCAGGAGCATCTTTCTGATGAGGCCAGGAGCCCCAGGACGACTGACACTGGACCATATCCATCTTTGAAATCCCATGCCTGGCCCACGCTGGGTGCCAGGAGGGGGCCTGGACTTCCGTGCTCCGGCGACTCCCCTTCTCAGGTGGCTGCGGTAGCCCCCACTTCCTCCCTGGCCACCACAGTCCATTCTTCCACATGGGATCTTTGTAAGGCCAACCCTCATAGTGCGACTCCCGATTCAAACTCTGCAGGGGCCGCCCACACCTGTCGGGGCACATCCACTCCTTCTGGGAGGTCTTCCTCCCAACCCATCACCTGGGCCACATCCTCCCACTTGGGGTCCGCCACACAGCCCCTCAGTTATACTATACATTTGTTGGTTGTTTGCCCAGCATCTGCCTCTCCAGGATGGCAGGTTCCATGATGGTTTTATTCATCATTGTATACCCGCTCCCAGCACAGGCCTGAGAAACCACTCGGTGTTCGAGTGCTTCCTGAATAACCAATGACTGTTTCAGATCTCTAGGGTCAGACGCCTTCTTCCAAGAACACCCTGAGTCTGGAACTGAATAACCCACGATGGGCGCCGGAGTCCAATGCCAGCTGCCTCCCCCACTACGGGCGCAGGACGTGGGTGCAGTGGGTGGATGAGAAAGAGTGAGTGGGTGTGGGTGAGTTTTCAACAGTGAAGGTCATGCAGAGGCCCCAGGTGGGGGAGGAGGAAGATGTGAATGGATGCCCCACCCAGGGGCTCAGGGCTTGGAAGAAGGAGAGAGAAAGTGTGTGAAGCAGGAGACGTGCAAAGCTGGGAGAGAAGGAGCCTGCATTTGGGCTCCTAACGGGGCAGTCACTCGAGGCCAGACAGTGTGTCTTTGCAGACAGTCCCACTGGTCCCCTCCCAGAGCCTGTCTGCTGGGGCCGGTGCTGGCCAAGTGCAGCCTGGGGCTTTGGAAATGGGCATGGTGGGGTGCCCAGCTGGATTCTGCTCTGAGGACTGCTGCCTGGACCCGGACCCTTGAGGGTCCTGGTCTCCCTCCTGGAGCCAGACACGGTCCAGGGCAGGGGCTTGGCAAGTGGGTGGTTCCCAGAATCTCTGAGGTTAGGCCTGAAGACTCCACATTCTGGTTCCTTCTACCTGGTCAGGACCCAAGTGTGAGGCCGTAAAAGGGGCCTGGTGGCTCGTGAGCTAACTCCCACCCTCCAGAGTCGGGAAGAACTCTCTGAGGCATGTGAAGTGGGTGGGAGCCCCAGCCCCTAACCCCACAGCGGCCCACACATCAGACATGAGATAGGTTAAGCTGTCCACTCGAGACTCGAGATCCAGTCAGGTGAGAATCCCATCAGAGAGACCTCAGCTATAGCTTCATTCCTGGCACCTTCTCCTCCTCCTGCTCCCGACATGATCTAAAAGCAGGAATTCCAGAAGGAGCAGTAGGATCCTTGCAGGGGGGCTAGCCCTCTCTACAGTAACATGGGACCTGGCTCTAGAGAGAACTAAAGCCAGAAGATGCAGGGGCCAGCTGGCCTGATGTGTGCCCATGGCCCTGGGGCTGATGGCTGTGGGTTAGGGGCAGGTCCAGCCATCCCAACTCTCAGGCCCAACACCTGCTTCTCAGACGCCCGCCTGGGTCCCGGCATGTCCTCGCCAGGCCCACCTCAGGCTCTCTGTCCCTGCTCTTGGTCAGTGGTTCGTCCCGCCTTACCACGGTCGCCAGGCTGGGAATGTGTTTGACTGAATTCTCGACCTCCTCTTCGGTCACCTCGACCAACGTGCAGTTCTCGTCCTCCGATGGCAACGGCTCCGCCCCGTGCCTCGTGACCCAGGGGTGCAGCTTCAACGAATGACAGGAGGGGTGAGGGGCAGGCACAGCTGGCTCCCAGAAGCAGGCAAGCGGAGCCAGGGAGGGGAGGCAGAAAGGGAGAGGCAGTGGCCTGAGGTCGGGCATGCAAGAGAGCTGGCAAGCCAGGCAGAGGGTGGGGGTGAGCAAGATGGGAGGAAACGTGGAGAAGACGAGACAGAGAATGGGAGGGAGCTACGAGGCTGATATGCGCGGGTTGGATTCTCCATCTGGCCCCAAGTCTTGGCAAAAGTGACTAGAATTTGGCATCTGCCTTGCACCCATCCCTCCTCAGCAACACACCCTGATGCCCAGAAGACTCAGCTCAGAGCAGGCAGCACCCTCCCCATTTCATAGAAGGGCAAACAGAGGCTTGGGGAGGCACAGAGACTACAAACCAGCTGGAAGGACATAATCAGGAGAGGACCCAGGCAGGGCTCTGCCCCTGACTACCCACCCCTGGGGTCCAAGCCTTTATCCGTAGCCTGTCAGGCTTCCCCATCTTCACATACTAGTTAGCTAGGTCCCTAGGAGTTCCCAAAGCAAATACGTATCTAGATTTCTTAAAGGGCCAGATGTGTGTGTGTGGCATTGGTTGGCGTGTTGGGGTTGAATGGGGGTCTCTTTTAACAGTGCTTTCTGCATCAGGGTGGAATAGGGCAGGCCAAGGGAGGGGGGGGTCAAAGGGCTCACTGACTTCCGCCCACCCTCACTGCAATTTCTCAAAGGGATGGGCAGGGTTAAGGCAAGGGCCCAAGACAGGACGTGGAACACACAGCGGCCCCGGACTAGCCTGGTCTGCGGAGGGTAGATGCCATCAGCCCAAGCCAATCGGAGCGAGCGCTAGCTGCCTGGCTGGCAGCAGATGCCACTTACACAATCTCACAAACACAAGCCCCAAATCCTCCTCCCCAACCCGACCAGCCCCCAGCAGCCTAGAGGCCTCAGGGCACGGGAGCGCAGCGGTTGCCAAGGCGAGTGTGGCACTGTGAACGTGGGGCAAGGGGCCTGGCCAAGGCGGGGTTGAGCCAAACAATTCCAAGCAGAGGACACAGGCCAAGCCCCCAGCACACGCCCCTTGAGGCAACGGTGGCCCCGGGGTACCTTGATCTCCGGCACCACAATCCTCGACTCGGGGTTCTTGTCCAACATGCGGGTGATCAGGTCCTTCAAGTCCTCGGCTATGTCGGGCCTGGGGGTGGGAGACACGTCAGGAGTGCCCGACAGAGACGCAGGACCACCGAGGGCTCAGAATGAGAGGAGACTCAGAATAGCCGGGCGATACTCACTGATCTGGAAATTCCAGGGCCTGGCTCTTAATCTTACTGTGTAAACACATGATCCGCTCGTCCATGAACGGGCACTGCCAAGAGAGGTAAGAGCAGCCGTCAGTGGCTGGCACGCCTGTCCTGTAAAGACCACCCGGTGCTGGCATCACTTCACATGGGTTACATCAGAGAAATAGGCAGCCTGGTGGCCTGGTCGAGGGAAGGAGCAGTTCCCACCCCTCCAAGTTCTAGAAGGACCAGGGGTGTCCTTTTAGAAGGGGCTAGAGCCCTTCCCACCACATCACGGATTTCCTCGGTAGCTGGGGATTTAATTTACCTACTTCTACAAAAGCAAACATTTTTTTTCATCCACCTGGCAGGTGAACGACGATAAAATAGCAAGAATAATAAAAAAGGTGTCACTGCAACAGCAGAGATTAGCGAGAGCTTAGCCTGGGCCAGGCCCTGTACGGAGGTTTCTCAGGGCTAACGTTTCATGGGCTGCTCCCTCTGCCTGGCGTGTTCTTCCCACCAACATCTGGCTGGCTTGTTTTCTCCCATCATTCAGGTGTCTGAGCAAAGCTCACCTTCTCAGGGAGGCATTCTGGAGCTCCTGTCTGAAACAGACACGCCCCACCCACTCCCACTGCCACGTGATTTCTCATTGTAGCACCTATCCCTGATATTATATTACATATGTAGGTATTTATTGTTTAACGCCTGCAATGGGAACGTCAGCTCCAAGAAGGCCAGGATTTTTGTGTGTCTTGCTCACTGCAGACGCCCCAGTACCCGGGAACAAAGTTGGGGCTCAATAAATATGTTGAATTAATGAGTGCTTGAATTAATTCTGTCGATCCTCTCAGAACCTGTAAGAATAAGTATTATTCTCATTTTACAGAAAAGAAAAACAGGAGCTCAAAAGAGGTAATGTGTCCGGAATATGCCAAGTTGGGATTTAAGCCTAGCCTGGGCTGAACTCTGCAGCCCACTCATGCGGCCTCCTCCCGGGTGACAAATCCGTGCTCTCGCCCAGCATGCGGCCTCACCCAGGAGGAGCTCAGGTATTGTGCAGGAAAAAGAAACCTTTATGTGGGGTGCTGAGAAGGCTGGGAAAAGTCTCAGAAAGTGACCTGGCCTAGTCTTGTCCAAGGAAAATTATTTCAGTAAGAGCAGTAACCTGAGACAAAAGTTTGGATCACACAGGTATAGCCAGTCGACAGAACTCATTAAATGGTACACTTAAGATCTGTCAGTAGGGGGCCGGCCGAGTGGCGCGATGGTTAAGAACTCGCTTGGGATGCCAGAGGGCCCCGGTTCGGATCCCACATATGAGGGCCAGTGACACTGCCCTCCGCAGCTGAGATGCTGAACAACAGCTCAACCTGGAGCTGGGCTGCCATGAGTCGCCGGCGACGGCGTGGGCTGCAGCCCCTGTGGCAGTGGGTTGCCATGGGCTACCGTGAGCAGCCAGTAGCCAGCGTGAGCGGCCAGCAGCCGCAGTGAGCGGCCAGCAGCCGCAGTGAGCGGCCGTCCAGAAGCCGGCGACTGATCTGCCTCGCCAGAGAAGAGCGCAATGATGGTGCCAACTTGGGCCAGTGAAGCAACGTCCTCCACAACTAGACTGAAGAACAAAATGACAGCAACTTGTCTGTTCCCCTTCCCCCAACTCCCCAGCACTGTTCCCATCCCCCCAATTCCCCAATAAAAAATCAAAAAAAAAAAAAAAAAAAGATCTGTCAGTACATTTCATTATATGTCAATTTTACCACAAAAAAATAAGAGAGAACCACAAATAGTGAGCTTTAGCTAACGATGGCACCCTAAAGCATTTGGAAGAAGTATAGGTATGTTGGCATGTTACTCTTGTGGACAGAAAAGGGGCCACACGTTAAACCTGACAAGCTCAGGAGACTGAAAATAACCACAGTCGGTGAGAACATAAAAATTCCTAACTAAGGTGGGCCATGGCAGGAAGTCACATCTCTTGAGCTTCCTCATTAAGTTATTCTGTGCCTTTTCAGTGGGCCTATTCCTTGTCTTTTCGTACCTAAGATAATATCTTTAATCCTCCCCCCACCCCCCACCCCAGAGCTGGAAACTGCAAAATTCCTCATTATCATTCTTGTCTCCTGATCACCATCTCTATGTGCTGTAAAGAGCCAACTGTTAGCTATCCTACACCCACCTGTGTGGGAGGAGTACCTGTCCCTCCAACATACTTTTATCCAATCCCAAAGATTTCCCCGCTTTGCTTTCTCCCACCCCCTTAATCTATCATCAATGGATTTCATGTAACCCTCCTCCTTTGATTTTATGTATAAAATAAACTGCAAACTGCCATTTTGCAGAGCATTTTCTCAATCCGTTGAGATTTTGCTTCCCGGCAATTGTTGACAGTTTGGCTCAAATAAACTCTTATAAGTTTTCTCTTAGGCTGGATATTTTTCATCAACACTCTGAAATGTGTAAAAAAATAAGATTGAGGATGGAGTCACATGTGTTGAAGCAAGTACAGTAAAATGTGTACGGTAGAATCTAGGTGGCAGCAGCATGGGTGTTACTGTACAATCCTTTCACTCACTATGTGATTAAAAATTTTCTAATCAATGTTGGGGGGAGGGGATTACAAGCTCCTTTACATCCTCACAGGACCAGTTTCTTAAGCTTTCCTCAATAGGAGACAAGCTCATGAGAAGGAAAACACCACACTTTTATTGCTCATAGTTCATCTGAACTTCCAAGTTAAAAATAGAAGCCCCTAGGGCCGGCCGAGTGGCACGTTGATTAAGAGCTGGCTTGGGACGCCAGAGGACCCCGGTTCGGATCCCACATATGAGGGCCAGTGACACTGCCCTCTACAGCTAAGATGCTGAACAACAGCTCAACCTGGAGCTGGGATGCCGTGAGTCGCTGGCAATGGTGTAGGCTGCAGCTCCTGCTGCAGTGCGTTGCCATGGGCTACTGTGTGTAGCCAGCAGCCACAGTGAGCGGCTGTCCAGAAGCCGGCAACTGATCTGCCTCGCCGGGAAGAGCGCAATGATGGTGCCAGCTTGGGCCAGTGAAGCAACGTCCTCCAAACTAGACTGAAGAATAAAACGATAGCAACTTGTCTGTTCCCCTTCCCCCAATTCCCCAGGGCTGTTCCCATCCCCCAATTCCCCAATAAAAATCTTAAAAAAAAAAAAAAAATAGAAGCCCCTAAATATCAATAATACAAAAACAACAAAAGAAAGAGAAAAAAAAAAAAGACAAACCAGCACATCCTAAATCAATAGTCAAATGGATTTTAACTTCCCTTCCAACTCTATCCCTTCAACAATAGCTTCTAGGGACACTGTTGAGAAGAATACCAAAGTAGTATCAGGCTCAGGAGGAAAGAGTGAAGTCATTGATTAGTGATGTCTGTCTTGGGTTTAGGAGTGGGGAAATGTGGCACATCTGCTGTCCTTGCTCTAAATCTGTCAACTATTTATAACCTCCAGCGCCTCTGCCAATCCTTCTGTTTTAACAGATATGACTATCATATACAGATATGCACATTTAGGAAGGCATCCTCTTTAATATTCAGATCTAACTGTGGAAATAAAATTATATAACTTTTAATGAATAAGTACCATCTCCCCTGTATAGGTAACTATTAATCCAAGAGGACCACCCAGCCACACTCAGGAAGCAGGACACCCCCACCCTGTTACCTGGCCAAACACAAAGCAGTACAGCGTAACACCCATGGCCCAGACATCCAAGGCCTGCAAGAAAAAAAAGAGCTTCGTGTGAGGGCACCAGGGGCAGTGAAAGGCGACTACTGCTTTTGCCTGTCTAGCGTCCAATCCTCCAGCTTTCCTTTAGGGAACTACCTCTCCTTGACTCTCAGTCCATGGAGTTGAGGTGGGGCTAATCCCGTGCCCAGCCTCTGGGTGGGCACATAACCCAGGGCTGATCAATGAGAATACCACTTCCCCCAGCCATAGTAATTGGTTCAAGGATGGGCACATGACCCAGGACTGACCAATAAGAGTACCACTCCCTCCAGCTACAGTGATTGGTTAAAAAATGGGCACATGATACATGCTGGGCCAATCAGAGCCAATCCCAGGATTTTTGCTGGAGATCTTCAGGAAGGGGAATGGTCTCTCTACTGAAGTTGGTAAACTGATAGAAAATAGCCTGGAGCTGCAGGAGTCTAACCCACCTGGGGAGGAAACCAATTCAGAACAGACCTAAGAGACAAGAGACGGATTCCTATCTGAATCTCTGTATCTACCCAAGCCCAAAGCCAAATACATCCCCGCTCATCTACATGATTTAATGGATTCACTGTTTAAGCCAGTTTGAGTTGGATTTTTGCCACTTACAACTGAGAGGACCCTAACACAGGAAGTACTCAGCATCTCGGCAGATCCAAACCTACCTTCCCAGAGAAGATTTTCCGGGTTTCTGAGAGCGACTCGGGCGCCATGAAGGCGGGCGTGCCCACAGTGTTAGAGAGGAGCGCATCGCTGCCCTTGAACTCGTTGCTCACGCCAAAGTCGGCAATCTTGATGTGCCCATCTTCTCCGACCAGCAGGTTGGAAGGTTTGATGTCCCGGTGGATGATCTTCTGGTAGTGTACTGGGGACGGGTGGGCACAGGACGGGAGAGAGGGGGCAGGAAAGCCATGTGAGGAACTCCGGGTGGCCCACATTGCCCAGAGACACAGGTGGGGGGACCCCTCTGTTCTCCCACGGCCCCAGGCCCTTCCCAGCCCCGCTCCCAGACCTGCTGGACACTCACGGCTCTGAAAGATAGAGGAAGAGTGTCTTTAAGGATGTTCTCTGTCCTCAGAAATGAGGAGTGAAACACAAACTGCCAAGAGTGATTAGGAAGCGCCTGCTATAGTCTAAATCGCTGGTGACAGAGCATGGCGAGTTTTTGTGGAGCTTGGCTCCCGGCTAGAAGCCGCAGGACTTGTGGCAACCAAACATATTTTCATTTACCAATGCCAGAACTCAACCTGCTTACCCAACCAACAATGACTGGAGTAGGTCGATTTTAAGTGTGAACCACAAAGCAGGACTGGGGAGTTGGCTAACTGTCAGCCCATGGGAGAGGGCAGTCCTGTGGTCTGGAAGACCCAATTGCATTTCTGTGGTGGGGATGGAGGAGGGGATGATGACAAGGGTAATAGCAGCAGCAGCAGCTCCCCGAGGTAAGTGCCCAGGCTGGGCCCTAGCCCCATGTGAAGTGCTTCCCATTTACCCCATTTAAACCTCACAACAATCCTATGGGACAGGCAAGGGTAAGGGTCAAAATGTTTAACAACCAGAAGCAGAAAGGACACGTGCCAATCAGAACCACTGCTGTGTACTGGCTGATTTCAGTCCTGGTGAGAGACCCTTTATTATCATTTTAGAGATGAGGAAACTAAGGTTTCAGGAGAGTAACAGGAGCCCCGTCCCAGGGTTGTTGGGAATAAAGGACGATGCAAGTAGAGCCCCTAACAGTGCCTGGTACACACAGAAAGTGCCGGGTAAACGGTCGCAATTGCCACTGCTCTTAATTTCCCTGTGTGGCAGGAAGAAAGGTTTCTGCTGCCAGGGCGTAGCCACAGAGGGTTCTCTGTAGCTGCCCATGACGGCATCTCAGACAATTCTGTCTCCCACCCATCTCCTTGTGCTCCAAAAGGAAAATAAGAAACTTCCAACTTTCCACCCATTACCTGGGAACGCCTATCACCCCTGGAAGAGGCTCTTCCCACAGGCCCCACTTACAGTACTCGATGCCTTTGATCAGATCCTGGAAGTAGAAACGGGCCTGGTCTTCGGAGAGCGGTTTGAGGGTGGGCACTTCCATCACAGGCCTGAAAGGTTGGCACATGCATGAGAAACAAACCAGGTACCCCAGCCTTGGGCCCCTCTCACAGCAGAGCCCAGCGCCGCCTGGCTCAGCTTTGCAGCCCAAGAGGCTTCAGGCGTCATACATACCCGCCGGGGGTGGGGATACTCACCCTTGGTTGACCAGTTCAAACACTGTAGGGAAGAGAAGAGGTGAATTGTTACATTGGGAAACAGGAAATCTATCTTTCTCCCCATCATCCCCACCTCCCAAACGCCCCAGGAAACACCAAGAAGCAGAGAAATTAATATTGGACTGGAGAGAGGAATAGTCTACAAAACCAAAGCCGCTCCAAGTCCTGCTTTTCTAAGTTCCCATCAAAAGGCCAGGGGTCAGAGATTTTCTGATGTTCCTGGGACCTCAGCCTGGGTGGACTTCTAGTCCTCAAAACAGCCAGAGAAAACAAAGCAGGGAGACAGGAGACAGGTGGGGACAGCTCATGGGCACCTCTCATTTCTCCACTCATACCCAAGGCTAGACTATGTCAGGTCTAAGGGGACACAACCCAAACGTCGATTGACTCAGACACAAAGAAGTAGCCCTAAGGGTCTTCAGAACACTAGGAAAGCTCCGACTCAAAAAACAGCATGAACAGGTGTCAACAACCCCTCCCCAGTTCTCCAAGTTGCCAGGCTGTCTCAGGCTACAGACCAAGAATGCTTAAATAATATTATTCCAACTCCTCAACACTCAGTGGTCAGCTGGCCCTCGGACCCTTTCCTGAGTCTCAATCCAAAGCAAGACTTGGAGCTAGCAGTGGGGCTCAGGGTTTCCTCACCACCTCAAAGGCCAGCTCCTCCTCTTCCGCCTAAACAGCGCTCTTCCGGGCTGCCATTCACACCCCACACACAAATGCCTCACACGTCAGCTTCCTTCCAGCCCTGTGCAATGGCGGACAACCACCCTCACCACGTACTAGATAAACGGTGTCCAGGAAATGCAGTGTTTTTGTTGTTGAGTTTGTTTGTTTGGGGGGGAGGGGGGGTTGCGTTTTTAAAACTTGAGGTGAAGTTTTCATAATATAAAATGTCACAATGTACAGCATTCAGTGCTATTTAGTATTCACGATGTTGTACAACCATCACCTCTGTCTAGTTCCAGAACATTTTCATCGCCCAAAATCAAACCGTGTGCTCATTCGTAGTCATTCTCTATCTCCCCACCCCCAGCCCCTGGCAACTAATAATCTGCTTTCTGTTTCTATGGATTTGCCTATTCTGGACATTTCATATACATAGAGTCATACAATCTGTGCTCTTCTGTGACTGGCTTTTTCACTTAGTGTAATGCTTTCAAGGTTCATCCATGTTGTAGCACGTTATCAGTATTTCTTTCCTTTTTATGGCTGAATTATATTCCAGTGTATGGATAGACCACATTTTGTTTCTCCGCTCATCCGTTGACGGACATTTGAGTTGCTTCTACCTTTTGGCTATTGTGAATAAGGCTGCTGTGAACCAAGCATTTATGTACAACTGTTAGTCTGTTTCCAATTCTTTTGAACATATACCCAGGAGTGGAATTGCTGGGTCATGTGGCATAGTTATTTTAATTTTGTTCTGCTTGGACAAACATAGTTATAACTAGGAATATGAACCTGTACTTTAGAAAGTGAAAAAATAGCACGGTAGGTTTCGACATCCAGGGGAGAATGACTTTAGAGTAGTCTATTGTTCTAGAATCATCGACCCACATTGCAGCGAGTGTATGGAAGAAACCAAAGCGTTTATCAAAGGTCTCCAAGGGCTGAGGTAGACAAGGGGAAGCAGCCAGATCCTCAGACCAAAGGCAGGCTTACAGGTTCTAACCAGAACAGGAACTTGACTCCCCCGGGGTCCTTCCCTGTCTTCAGGTTCATCAATCAGCACTGAGCAAATCTGCCATAGGGCAGATCCACTATGGCTTCAGGCTGCAACCAAAAGCAAAGGTAACAGCTCAAAGGGGCGGTTTCCACAGACAGGAGCACCGGGCACTCAGCTCTGGCCTATCCCGTCTCAGGTATGTAAGTGTCAGCTTTCAAGAGCTGCTTCGTGAATTTCTGCGCCTTCCTCCCACCCACCCAAGCACTGTAAGTCAGATGGCCTGGAGGAAGCTGGCCTGCTGAAACAGGTCTATTTTCAGTCCCTAACAGTGTCACCACGCTGAGCAGTGGGTGGGAAGTTTTTAACCTCTAGAAATACTGACCGTGTTCTCCACCCTTTGAGGGTCAGACCTGTAGCGGCAGGACCCTTGCTGATACCTGCTATGGGCCTCGCGTGCTACCCTGGAAACATTCCCCAAACCACCAGAATCAAACACTAAAGGTCAGCATGGCTCCTTGTCACACCGGCGCCTCAGGAAGTGAAAAACTCTGTCCATGAAGCTGCCAGGTTTAGCCTCACAAAACTCCTCCTTGAACTTGGGTCATGTTCTTTTTATCCTCATTGAGCTCTTCTGCTCAGACCCTCCAATGGTTCCCTTCTCGCCCAGAGTAATTACAAGGCAAGGTCTTACAATGGTGTAAAATGTCCTCTGCCATCTGGTCCCCACTGTCCTGCACAAATGTCACCTCAGTGAGCCATCTCAAGAAGCCAGTCCCCCAACCTGGACTCCTGGCTCCCCGGACCCTGCTTGGGTTTGCTTCTGGTGTCCCTTGCGAAGCCTACGCATAAAGCTTAGGTCCTAAGTGTCAGTCTGTCCTCAATACAGCAGTGAACTACCTCAAGGGCAGGAAGTTTCTTTTGTTTTTTGTTTTTTAAGCTTTTATTGGAGAATTGGGGAAGGGGAACAGCCAAGTTGTTGCCCTTCAGTCTTAGCTGTGGAGAGCGCAGCTAGCTCAGCTCCAAGTCCAGTCGCCATCCGGCCGCCCGTCGGCAGCTCGTGGCCGCTCAGCTCAAGGTGCCAAGTTCAGTCTTTAGTTGCATGCGGACGTAACGTAGCCCTCCAGTCGAACAGTGCCTTGTTGTTAGGAGCACGAGCTCTCACCAGCTGAGCCATCCTGCCACATGTTGGCAGCTCAGCTTGGGCGCAGCTCACTGGCCCATGTGGAAATCGAACCGGCGACCCTGTTGCTCAGAGCTTGCGCTCTTAACCAACTGAGCCCCTTGGTTGGCCCCAAAGACAGGAAGTTTTGAGTTTTGTTCCCTGAGGAACCTGGAACGGGGTCTGACAAACTATGATGTTTTTGACTGAACAAACAACCTCCTTGGAAATAGCCCAAAGTCATACAGGGTCAGGTCTGGGGTCCCAAGTGAGCGCATTAGGTTGGAGATGCCATTCTGAGCCAAAAACTATCTGTTGTTACATTTTGTGATTTCTGCTGTATTTCCCCAAAATTCACTCATTTGCCTACCATGTTCATAATCTAGCCTTATCTATATGCCATGTAAATTATTGTTTGATATTTTTCTTTAAATTGGCTCAGTTTTTAAATTCTTAGCCTTATCCTATGTAATGATATCCATGAGCTCATGCTTTTAGTGCGCTGGTTATAGTTTTTCTTATACAATGTCAAATTAAATCTAAAATTTTTTTAAATGTGTGTCCATGTGTCACCTAAAATCATCTCATGTATTTAAAGTGGTGACGCTACCACATTTTGAGAAATAGCGCGATTCTGTAATGTTCACATTTTTATGTTCCCTTCAATCGTTTTTTAAAGTTAACATATGTGATGTTATTTACTGTATAGCTTCTATATTGTTTGTCAAGGAAGGTTTTAAAATTTGAATATGGACTGCACACTAGATGCTCTCAGGGAACTGGTGTTAACTTTTTTTCAGATGTGATGATGTCTGTTACTTTACTTTTGGACAGTTCAGCAAAAAAATACAGAGAAATGGATAGGCGGGTAGCTACACTGATCGAGCAAATGACAAGATACTAACCTGAATCTGGGTGGTAGGTATACATTACACTATTCTTTCAACTTTTTCTGCAGGCTTAACATTTTTCATAATAAAAACCCAGGGGACAAATGGAAAGTAAAATATCCTAGGAAACAACGGTATCCTTGGAAACAAACCATAGCAACGACTTTAGGGGAGTTGAACTCAGAGCTCTATTTTCCAGCCACATTTGTGACTTTATGATCCATCACTCCTTGTGCAGCCAAGGACCGTCCCCGTGCTCAATGAGGAGATTCCGGACTCCAGGCGGGGCTTGGCCATGCCCACCTCCCTCATCTCTTTGCTCCCCCTCCCGGCTGTCATCTGTGCCTATTCAAAATGCACGGACTCATCTGAATGCCCACCCAAGCCAGACATTACCAGGACATGTGACCTGTCGATCACTCATTCCTGGGCCCGACAGTCTGCTGTCCAGTTTTGAATCAGTCCTGCCCTCCCTTCCCTCATCAGCACTTATGCTGAGATCTGACTGAGGGCTGCCCCATGTCCCCACCATTTCTTTAAAATGAGGCTTCTGAGGACATGCCTGAGTCCATCCATTTCCATGTGCAGTGCCCAGACCCTTTGATGATCCCTCAAGGCTCCAAATGCCCCACCATGGCCTCCCGCACCCCCTATCCTCAACCCCACCCTCCTCTCTGGTTTACTCTGCCCCACCCAGCCACATTTTTCTCAAACACACTGCTCCCGCCAGCCTCAGGACGTTTGTGCCTGCTGGTCCCTCTGCCTGGAATACTCTTCTACAGATCTAACAGGACTGTGTCCTTGACATTCAGGGGCTGAATGGGCGCCTCCTATCAGAAGTGGTCCCTCCATCTCTCTCTCACATCATCAGTTAACCCCCTTCAGAGCACCTATCTGAAGTTATCTGGTTTATTTATTTGTTGGCTCTGTGTCTTCCCCACCTAGAATGTCAGCTTCATCAGAGCGGGGCCTCATCGTTCATACTTATCACTGCATCCTTAGTGCCTAGAACAGTGCCCAGCATATAGCAGGTGCTCAATAAATATCTGCAAATGAATGAATAGGACATCCAGATAAAGAAACTCCCTTCCACCTCCTGCTTTGAATCAGGGGTGCGGCCTTCTGTGGGCTCGCTGTGGGGCCCAGCCAGAGCGGGAAAGGGAAAGCTGTCCTTAGTGGGAGATGCCAGGGGGAGGGGCTGCCTCGAGGGCGCCCCTGGGTTCTGGCAGGCACAGCTGCCTGAGCGAGGATGGCAGAAGGCAAGGGCTCAGGTCTTACCCATGTACAGATGGTCCTCAGTGGGGTCATCCAGGACCTGTTGGCACAGCCACATGGAACAGGCCGGGGACAAGGAGCAGGGAGAGAAAAGAGAGAGAAAAGACATGAGCGGACAGGAAGCAGCATCCACATGACTGCGTCTGCTACCGGGAGGGCTATGCTTTCCACTGTTTTTCCTAGTTAAGATGAAGGGCACAGGAAAAAACCCTGAGTGTGCGATCCAAATGGCCATCTGGAAAATAAGCACCTTCTAGCCCAACCCTCAAGGGTCCAAAACACCCAGAAAGGAGGTTACAAAAGGGGGGGGGGGCGCAAATCCCTCCCTGGGAAATGGCTCATCTTGAATGAAAAATCCCACCTGTCTCCTAGGAGACAACAACTGGTCCACGGGGTGAGAATTCAGATCCTGTCCCCATCCTCCCAACACCACCAACAGGAAATGATATCTCCTCGCCTGGAAGTGCCACAAGACTTCCTCTCTCTGGCCTTCTCTCATAACCCTCCTGCTTCCATCTTATCACTATTTCTATCTTTCTCCTTCTCTCCGAAGGGCAGGCACCAGGCTGTATCCACGCCAGTTGCTTCCGTGGTGCTCTGTACAGACTGAGGCACATAGTAGGTGCTCAGAAAACGTGTGATGAATGAACCAACAGGCGCGCTGGTAAACAACTTTGTTAAGTGGCGGAGCCACATGTCACAGGGCAGTGGGGAGAAAGGACTGAGAGCCACTCACTAACCAGTGCCCTCGGGCTTCCTCTAAGATGCCGACTCAATCATCTGTGAGTTGAGACAGTGATGACCTGCAGCCACACCTCTCGTTTGGGAGGAAACAAAGGTAGGCTCCTTGGCTAGATTGGTCCTCTGACTCTTCCCACATCACACTCACCTTCCCCAGCCACCCAAGGTCCACAGGACAAGAGCCCTGAGAAAGGGATGGACCCTAGGCAGAGGCCTGGGACAGCCAAGCTGAAGCCCTAAGCCTTGCCCTGTGGGGAAAGGCAGACCCAGGGCCTGGACACCTCGAGTTCTGCCCCCGATGGGCTCCAGGCAGTGTGAGTGCTGACCCTCCCACCTACCAAAGGCAGGAATATACCCCCACACACACCGAAATAGGGGCCCCCGGCCCTTTACACATGCTATTCCTTCCCCGGTGACGCCCTTCCGTCTTCCCCATCTGGGTACAACCGGCCCATCTCGAGCATCACTTTCCCTGAGAAGCCTTCCCCAGCCCCTCAGGCCAAGCTGGCTGCTCCCGCTTCACACTCCTAGAGCACTTTGAACATGTGCCCAAGCAAGTCCTTTATCACACAGGGGTTACAAGTCCTTGTCATCTAGACCAGAGGTGCTCCAAATGTGGCCTGGGGGCTTTGGGGAGTCCCCAAGAAGCTTTCAAGGTCCACGAGGTCAAAACTATTTTCACTCTAAAACTAAGACAATATTTGCCATTTTCACTCTCCTTCTCTACTAGTTGTAGAGTTTTCCAGAAACCACATGACATGTGATGGATGTCACAACAGGCTGAATGCAGGAGCAGATATGACAATCCAGCCATCTGGATTAATAAGCTGGATATTAACAATGACAAAACTTTGCATAAATGTAAAACTATGCCATTCTGTCACTTCAGAAAAGTTATTTTTCATAAAAAGATATCACTTATGTTAACATAAAGACTGTTGTTTTAAATGAACTAATAAATAATTTTTAGATTTCTCAGTTTTAAATTCTAATGTGATAAATATTAATAAACATAACCTACATAAGCAAAAGCTTTTTGGGGTCTCCAATAAATTTTAAGAGCATCAATGAGTCCTGAAACCAGAAAGTGTGACAATCACATGATTGATAAAAGTGTGACAATCACTGATGATCAAGAGCGATGACTGGCAAACCGTAGTACACACACCAGATCCAGCCCTCCACCTGTTTTTGTAAATAAAGTTTTATCCAAACACAGCCACGCCCATTTGTTTACATGTGTATGGCTGCTTTTGTGCTGCAACTGCACACATGCATACTAGAAAGAGGACCAGCTCCACAGAGACAGACGTGGGGGAACCGCAAGCCTCGGTACCCCACTGAGCCTCAATTCCTTCATCTTTAAAGTAGGAGTGATAAACAGTCTTAGGGAGGGGTGAGGATTAATGAAATAACAGGAGTGATGGAGCCTGGAGCAATTAACGACTACTCAGTCCTGCAGTAAGCTGTCTGATGTGAGCGGCTCTCCCTAGAAACTAGTGGGTGGCATTTGGGTAATAACAGAGCCAGAGCTGGGCCACCATCAGCCTCCCATCCTCCCCCATGTCCCCCCCCACCTCACCTCCACTAACTTCACCACGTTGGGGTGGTCCAGCTTCTTGAGGATGGCGATTTCCTGGTACACCTGCTCAATGGGGCCCCTGGGCTGGATGCAGCCCCCTGGGGCTGGCCGAGTGCCTCGGGGTGGGGGGCGACCTGAAGGAGATACAAACCATCTCGGGGTCAGCATAAAGAGCCTTTCCAGCGCAGAGGGCTGGAGTGGCTGACGCCCCCAGGGACTTTACACAGCCTTCTCACCGGGCTCCTCTGCTGCTGAAAATTGGTGAGGTTGGAACCACAGTCCCCTTGCTCAGCCTTCTGTGAACCCCCCCCTTCCCATCCTATGCCCCACATCACAGTGAGTCAGGAGGTCACCAAGGTGTGGGGAAAAGAAGTCTGGGGTCTGGCTTGGCAATCTCAACATCTCAGGGCTACTCCATCCCTTCTTCTCTCTGGGGCTCAGTTTTCCTACTCCATAAGATGGACAAAAACATGACCCCTCATCTCCTTAACTCATGGATATAGAAGAGATATACAATGAAGTCAGAAACAGAAAAATAAGAGCCGATGAGACAAAAAAAAACAAAAGATGATGCCAAAAAGAAAGGCAATCCATTCACTGCTTGGCCTTGCAGTGACTGGCAGTCAAAGGTCACAGTGATGGAAAGGTCCAGTTAAAACACTTACGATGTCACCCACCGAGGATCTAAGTGTGATTAACAGAACTGAAGGTAGAGGTGACCAGCCTTGGAAAAGTAAGAGCAAAGGTGTAGGTGTCAGAAGTGGGATATGAAAGGAGGGGAGAGGAGTTCTAGGGGACGGTGGGGGCGGGGGGCACTAACAGCCTCATCTTACAAAGCGGGGAGTCAGGAGACACTCGCTACAGCTGCTGGAATGAGAAAGGAAGTGTCAAGTGTAGTAATAAAAGAGGAGCTAAACATCATGGTATCATTTCATTGCCTGGTTGGGAAAGGGAGGTAAGGAGTGGTGTAAGAACCACAATCCTCATCTCTCTTCAGAGGAGGTCAGACGTGGATGTCAAACATGGATAAGACAAAAAATAATGGCACCAAGATATGTAGCTCGGAGTTCAGCTAAGCAGGATAAACCAGGGTCTTGGGGATAGGATGGGGTTTACATCTTTTTCTTATCTTCTTTCTCTTTTCTGGCCCCCACGGCAATGCTGGCAGGGAGCTTATGTTGGAGCAGCCTCTGATAGGCTCACCAGGAGGTCTATCCTTGGGTCACGTATCTTAACTACCAGCTCCTAAAAGACTGAAACGTGGGGGCTGCCTGTAAGGAGAAGAAGTACAGCGAGAACCTCTTGTTCTCCATTAAAAGCCCTCCTGTTCTTTGACTGCTTTTTTCAGTAGATATAATTCAAATACCTCATGGCATTTAAATTTTTTTTAATTCATCATTTTGAGATGTATAATACAATGGTTTTTAGAACAGTCACAAGGTTATGCAACCATCACCACGATCTTATCCAGAACATTTTCAGGTCCCACCCAAAAAAATAAAAAATAAAAAAAAAAATCTCATACCTATTCTCAGTCTTCTTACCCCTGGCCCCTGGAAACCACCAATCTGCTTTCTGTCTCTATGGATATATCTATTCTGGACACTTCATATAAGTAGAATCATACAATATGTGACTTTTTGTGTCTGGCTTCTTTCACTTAGCTCTATGATTTCAAGGTTCATCCATGATGTAGTATCTATCAGTGCTTCGTTCCTTTTTAATGGCTGAATAATATTCCACTGGATGGACAGGCCACCTTTTGTTTATCCAGTTAGTCACTGATGGACCCTTGGGCTGTTTCCATCTTTTGGGTATTGTGAATAATGCTGCTGTGAGCATTCGTGTACAAGCTTTAGTGTGAACATGTGTTTTCAATTCTCTTGGGTAGGTATACCCAGGAGTAGAATTACTAGGTTATAGTAACTCCATGCTTAACTTTTTGAGGAACTGTCAAACTATTTTCTTCCAATCGATTGTCTGACTTGAAACCTGTAATGCTTGAATAAATTTTTTTTTTTTAACGAAAATGAATAAAAAACCTCAGTAGGAGGCCCAGCGCTATCTTTGGGGTGTCCAGCCAGGCAGGTCACTCTGCAGGGGACACCATTCAGTGGCATCTTCTCTGCCTTGCCCCAGTCCCTGTACCTAAGAACAAGGGCCCATCTGGCCCATCAAGCTTACGTGGAAAGCCCGCCTGTCGGATCAGCTTCTTTTTGGACAGCACCTTCATCGCCTGTGGGACAGAAGACCCCACAACCCAGTTAAAGCAGGCAGGAGGCAGGAGGGAAAGTTCCCACCACACTTAGGCTTGCCCAAGCTCCTGCCCCCTGGCAGTTTGGGGACAATGTAGTGAACACCTGGTCACCAGAGGGGGTCAGGCAGCCACATGCTGCATGGAGGCTGGACTTAGGGAGTCTCTCCAGCTCTGAGGGTGTGTCTGGGGTTCCAGGTCAGCTCAGCCAGCTGGGAGACCACGAGCCTTAAAACTCACTACCACTGAATCAAGACACACGAGTGAGCTGGAGTGATGGGCGGCGGGAGGGCGGGGTTTGACTGGCTGTTTTACACATGGGGAAACAGGTTCAACAGTTACGTCACTTGCCCAAGGTCACACAGTTGGCACATGGAAGAGCCCGGATTTGAACCCACAGTGGACTGACTCCAAAGCCTCAGCTCTGAGGGCCATGTGGCTCACTACCGCCCGATTCCCAGTAGGTGGATGTAGAACTGGGAGCCCAGAGTAAGGCTATATAAGACATTGGCTGGGTTTATTTACTCATTCATTCTTCCTGAGCCATCCCTTTACTCCCCATTTCCCCATCTGTAAACTGGGAATACCACTTCCTTCCAAATGCACAAAATGAATGTGACCTAAGAAGGAAATAAGACAACTGCTAAGAAAACCTTCCAGAAAGCTGAGAGCTGGAAAGGAGTCTGTTTCTTTGGACAAGGATGGGAGCGGGGAAGGGGGAGGTGGGTACTCACATAGTAGGTATTGTCATTTTCATTGTAGGCCAACTTGACCACGCCATAGGAGCCCTGGATAAAGGGAGACGACCATGACACACTATCCAGAGTTAGGGCCTACCAAATGAGGACCCTGATACGGGGACTGCAAACTGGCAGACCACTGGCCAAATCTGCCCTGCACTTGTATTTCGTTGGATCTAAAGTTTTTGGAAACTTTGAATTAGTTGCCAACATTTAAAAATGGAAAGATTGGCTATAAAAATCCAGATTCCTGACCATCTGGAACCGTAATTATTTCCGTGTTACAGTCTGCCACAGACTACTACATAACCAGTCTGCCTCCTCCACGAGCCCTCATTTCCAGGGGAGTCTGCACCACTCCCTGATGTCTTATCCCTAGCATGCTGTGCTCACTGATATTACTCACTCACTCTCTATTGGCAAGTGAGCCTTCGAGCCCTGCAAAGATACTGCCCATTGGCTGAAACAAAAGCAAAAATGGATGTGAGAGTATCTTATGGGGAAAAACCAACACTAATGGGGGTGGAGATAACTATCATCCTAGTGATATGGGATTTCCCTGGATGCTTTCTGTGCTTTTGCAGAAATACATTAATATTATCATGTAAAAACAAAACAAAACAGAGGTGGCCGGTTGGCTCAGTTGGTTAGAGCACAGTGCTCATAACACCAAGGTTGCCAGTTCGATCCCCACATGGGCCACTGAGTTGTGCCCTCCACAACTAGACTGAAGACAACTACTTGACTTGGAGCTGATGGGTCCTGGAAAAAACGCCTTCCACAACTAGATGAAACAACTCCTTGACTTGGAGCTGATGAGTCCTGAAAAAACACTCTGTTCCCCAATAAAAATTTAAAAAACAAAACAAATCAAAACAAAACAAATGGGCCATTAATCACAAAACTCTCCCCCCCAACTTCACTTCCAAGGACTCCTCTCCCACTCCCAGCTCTAACGGGCTCGTCCCCCTCCCCTCCACCACACCCCCACCCCTACCCCTCATTAGATGTGGAGAACCAGCCTGGCTCCTAGGACACCTACCTTTCCAATTTCATCCTTCAGTGTGTATTGATTCAGCTGGACACAATCCTGGAAAGTTAAGTAGAAACACACACAGGATGTGAATTGTAAGTTTGCAGCTAGATAAAATTTTCACAAATGAAACAAACACTTGCAACCAGAACCCAAATCATAAAAGAATACATTCCCAACTCCCCAGCAGCATCTCCCAGTCACTGGCCCCTTCCAGGGGGACCGCTGTCGCGACTTCTAACAGCAGTTTTTTTTGTACGTTGTAAAAATGTAATCACACAGTGTGTACGCTTTTAATACCCATTTTTAAAAGGTGTCCCCACCTATAAAAAGTTAATTTTAAATTAAACAAGTAATCCATGATTATGTTGTCCTGTAAAAACATAAAGTGATCCAATAAGAGACAATCTATGTGACCTTGGGACAAACAAAAGGTTTCTTAGATAATACACAAAAAGTGCAAAATATAAAAGGAAAGAAATTTTGACGGGACTTCCATCAAAATTAAAACTTTTGCTCTTCAAGACACAACTAAGAAAATGAAAGGCAAGCCACAGACTGAAAGACACTATTTGTGACACACGTTATCAGACAAAGGACTGGTAACCCCGCTGCAGTGAACTTTTCTGTGTGTAGCCATCTCCAACTGTGAAAGTTCTACCTGGCCTTCCAAATGTAGTTAAATATCAGCCCCTTCAGAAAACCGTTCCTAATTTCCAGGCTTCTCCCAATTAAGCTCATTCATTCCTTCAACAAATGTCTTCCAGCTCCTACTATGGATAGGAACTGTGCGAGGTGCTGGGGACACTGGTGGACAAGACTACATTCCAGAGAGCTTACACTGCAGCCGAGAGGAGAGAAGCAATAAGCAACTAAACACACACACAAGATAATCAGATGATGAGGAGCGCTGTGGAGGAAAGTCAGCAGGGCAGCCGGACAGACAGGGCCTGGGGGCTGCGGGCTGCTTAGAGAGGGCAGTCTGAGACCTTTAGGAGGAGGTGACCTATGAGATCAGATGTGGATGTCAGATGGAGGTGACCTTGCAAAGATGGGAGAGGTTCCAAACAGAGCGGACAGCAAAGACACAGGCCTAAGGTGGGATGAACTTGGGGATGTGAGGTATGTAAGGCAGTGTGTACGGATGGAGCTCTGTGACTCAGCAGCAGAAACGTAAGAGTCAGGGCAGGACACGGGGCAGGGGCAGATTACACAGGGCCCTGTGAGGCTGATGGGGGTCTGAGTTCTAGTCTACCTCCCAGCTTACTATAAGGTCACATGAGAAATGCATTTACAGGGCTGAGCACCGAGTCTGGTGCAGGCACACACTCGGCTACACGGGTCAGTCACGTTGTTAAGCCATGAGGCCTCTCAGTGACCTGCCATCCCCATTTCAGAGCCCTCAGCACAACTTCCACATGCCGGGTCCTGCATCTCTCTGCTCAAGGCTCTCTCTGGTTGCAGAGCTGCCCTGCCCTTAGTCAGGGCAAGTCACCCATCCCAGCAGCCCTCACCTGAGACAGCCAGGAGTTGCTGGAAAAGTCCCAACTCCGTCAGCCTCAGGTGGGATAACCCGAAGGCTTACCTATTCTACCTGTCTCTCCCAGACAGATGGAGCCCCAGGTGCCCACAGTGGTAACCCACTCCATAACTGCACGTTTCCTTGACTTCCCTTCTGTCTCTCCTTCCTGACCTGGGTTTCCTGGGGTTACCTCCCAAATCCTCCCGGGGGAGCTCACCCAACACAAAGACCCCGGGGCCCAGCTCCTGACTGCTCACGCACCTGCATACCAGTGATGGAGACGTGGTGGGACTCCACCGTGGGCCGCCGGGGCAGCCGCGGCGAGGACTGCGGGGAGCTGACAGGCGAGGAGGGCTGGACACAGCGTCCATTCGCGTCTAGCTGGGACCGCTCCTGCAGAGACAGCTTGCGACTGGAGAGGTGGGGCCGGGTCTGGGACCCGGCGTCCCGGGCGACCTCTGGGCCATCGGTCTCCAGGGGCGGGTCCCGGGCCAGGCCGCGGTCCACAGCGCAACCCGGCTCACACTCAGTAACCACGATGAAGGACTCCATGCCCAGGCGGATGCTCAGGGATGAGAGGCCCCGTAGGGCCTCGCAGGGCTTCTGGCCTTCGCTGTTGCTGCTGCCACCTCCGCCCCCCAGCTCATCCTGGGGGGCGGCCCGGTCGCTGCTGGGCTGGCTAGAGACGCATGATGACATGGTGCATGCGCCAACCTCATCCAACATGGACACGCGGGGGCAGTGCCATCGGGCAGCGGCGCCACCTGCAGAGAGAGGAGGGGTCAGCCAACCCCACCCCGGGGCCGGGGCCAGGGCCAGGGCCAGGGACCAGGTCCTCTGCGGGCCCAGGTTGGTGCCTCATTCCTGCCTCGGGTTGACATCCTAAACAAATCTGGCAAAACATGATGTGATCTGATCTGAGTGGATACAGAAGCGCAAACCCCACATTTCTTTATTTTAAAAGCCCCTCCTCACATACAGAACAAGAATTCCAAATTCAACTCCAAGGGGAAACAATACGAGAAAAGCCCGAAACAGGGCACACAGGCTTCCTAGAGAGCCCACAGCTACTTCCAGCTCAGGCCACCTGTTGCTAAGCAGGGATCTGGGTCTAGTACCGCCTGGCTGTCCCTTTTTTTTTCTTTGTCCTCAAGAGAAGCCCTACACCCAGGATGTTCGATGAGATGTCTTGATCGGCTCTTGTTAATTAGCAATTATTTCGAATAGTTTTGACTGCTGGGCAGGCCAAATGAAACACTTCCGCACGGCGACCTCTGGGCCGCATCACTTCACCAGGGCGATGATTCAGACGGCACTTCACAGTTTACGGAACATCTTCCACACATCAGCATAGTCTCACAAGCACCGTAGGCTGCTGGTTTGCTATCAGACCCCCATTCTGTAAATGGGGGAACTGACCCTAGAGAAGGAAAAGAGATTTGTCCAAGGTCTCCTAATGCAAAGCCCACGTGAACAGCAGTCCGGGGAGGGACAGGCGTGCCCAGAGTGTGAGCCAGGACAGTCTGTGTTGTCTGAGGAGCCAGGCTCGACATATCTACTATCTAAAGTTTTCCTAGTTCAGCCCCCAGCTGGAGCCTGCCAGACGTAACACAAACGTGAGGTCAAAAAACGCTACTATCAAATAGCTTGGTGGGTCCTCAAAAAATTAAACAGGGAGTTACCCCATGGCCTAGCAATTCTGTTCCTAGGTATATACCCAAATAGCATTATTCACCGCGGCCGAAAGCAGAAACAACCTCCGTACCCATCAACAGATGAATGGATAAGCAAAACCTGGTCGATCCACACACTGGACTATGACTCAGGCCTAAAAAGGAATGAAACGCTGGCATGTGCTACAATCTAGATGAACCTCAAAAACCTCATGCTGAGTGAAGAAAGCCAGACCCAAAAGGTCACATCTGTATGATTCTACTTATACAAAATTTCTAGAATAGGCAAGTCCCTCGACAAAAAAGTAGATTAGTGGTTGCCTAGGACTGAGGAGGTGCTGGGCAGAAAAAGTGTGACTGCTAATGGGGACAGGGTCTCCTTCTGGGGTGATGAAAATGTTCTGGAACTAGAGAGAGGGGGTGGTTGAGTGACACTGTGAATGCACTAAATACCACTGAATTGTATATTTTTAAATGGTTGATTTTAGGTTATATGAATTTAAAAAAAAAAAAGATAGACACACTCCCTTAGACTGTCAATTCCTTCCATCTCTCGGACAGAATATTAACCTTTGGTTCATGTATTTGACAAATTCTGCTGGACAAATGTCACAAGGTGCCACTGGAATTCAGGGAGTACATCTGCAGATGTGGACGGTGGCAGCTTCGTGCCGATCACCCACATCACCAAGGTGCCAGGAAAACAGTCAGTGCTGAGTCGAGAGATTTTATGAATAAATAACATTACTTCTTGATGATACTGGGTGGCAGTGAGGGGACGGAGAGGACGGTACATATGGGAGCAGAAAGCCAGTGCTCCCTGGAGAAACTGGATGAGGGACACAGAAAGGCCACTTGCCCTCTTGGGACAGTCCTACAAGAAGTATTTATGGAACAATCTGGACAGTGACGTAGACAGATGGGGTCCCTGCTCTCGTGGAGCACGGAAAGACCAATGGAAAGGCATTAAAGAAATAACCACAGTGTCCCGGCCCAGACACAGGCACAATTTATGAACATGGTTCAAGGTAAAGGAACACCACAAAACCCAAATCATGCGACAAGATGCTCAGCCTCAGTTATAGTAAGAGAAGTGCAAATTCAAATTATAAGGAAATGGTTTGTCAGGTCCTCAAAAAGTTAAATGCAGAATTACCACATGATCCAGCAACCCCTCTCCTAAGTATATACCCCGAAGAATTGAAAGCAGGGATTCAAACAGACACATACACACCAGTATTTATAGAGGCATCATCCGCAATAGCCAAAAGATGGAAACAACCCAAGTGTCTATCAACTAATGAAGGATAAAAAGAATGTGGTCTATCCATACCATGGAATATTCAGCCACAAAAAGGGATAAGGTTCTGACATGTGCTACAACGTGAGAACATGCTAAGTGAAACACGCCAGATGTTAAAGTACAAATACTCTATGATTTCACTTACATGAGGAACCTAAAATAGGAAAATTTCAGAGAGCGAAATTAGAATAGAGGTTACCCGGGGCTGGCGGAGAGGGCGACTGGGGAGTTACGGTTTAAGCGGTACAGGGTTCCTGTTTGGGGTGATGAAAAAGTTCTGGAAATCGTGGTGATGGTTGCGCAACATTGTAAACTTAACTAACCTTAACTGTCACTGAACCATACACCTAAAAATGGTTAAAGTTGTAAATTTTGTGTTATGTACATATTACTAAAATGAAGGAAAATAATAATAAAGCTCCAATGAAAACCACTTCTTTCGACTATCAGATAGGAAAAGGCAAAAAATGTGATAATAACACCTTTTGGGGGAGGGGGTAATTATCCTATGGACAACCTCACACATGTAAAAAACAATGCACGTACAAGATTATCTGGTTTGAAACGACCCTGCACAGGGGACTGAGTTAATAAAATGAGGTGCATGCATCCCAGGAGAAAAACCATGCATCAAATTTAAAAGAGGTGACTCTCTACTTCCTAACATGAATTAGCTCCAAGACACACTGTTACATGGAAAAAAACCCAAAGCATTAGTATGCTGCTGTTGGCAGAAGGAGAGAAGACCATTCATGCGTACACAAATGCACGTGCACAGCATATTTCTGGAAAGATACATGAGAAAATGGTAACAGAGGCCCCAAGGGGAAATACCTGGTTTGCAGAAGTAGGGGGACAGGGTGGAAGGGACTTACGTTTCACTGTTTCTACCTTTACTTTAAAAACCAAAATTCAGAAATGAATTTTTTAAAAGAAAGGTCACTGTGGCCATGTTAGGAGTTAGGGTGAGAGGCCGGGGAGGGAGCAGTTGGTCCATCTCCTATTCCTCTACCCCCACCTTTACTGTATCTGAGAAAGAAATCATTGACTGTGTTCCTGTCTTGGCTTCCCTATCAGTCAAAGAACACAGCCCAAGTTCAACGTTCTCAGTGGCCCCAGCTGCTGTGACTTTCCATAACCCTTTTATGATCCTTGTCTCCCAGGAAGGGGAAAGCAGGGCCCCTGAAGTTCGACTGCTTGGGCTCACCGTGGACAAGTGACTTAGCCTCTCTCAGCCTCAGTTTTCTTATCTATAAAATGGGCGCTCGCCCGACAGTCACGACGATTATTAAATGAGCTAAGCACTCAATATCCACTCTGGTACGTGGTTAAGTGCTCAAAAGCTATTCTTTCCCACAAATAACTGCTGAATGCCTACTACCTGCCAGGCTGTGTCCTAGAATGTCACGATGAGGTGCTGATGTCCAAGGAGGCCAGCCTGCTCAGGGGTAGGTTCCAGAGCCCTGGCCAGGTGGGCCTGCCTCCCCCCAGGGCAGGGGAGCAGTTCTGATGGCCTGTCTTCCCTCCCAGAGCCACCTCTGACAGGACTGCACAGTTCCTGAAAAGAAAACGGGTCTGGCAGCACCTGAGAAAGTTAATGGAGAATTTTTTTTTCTTGCCAAAAGAAAAACAATTGCTTATTGATCTCCACTCCAGGCCAAGGACACCAAGCCATCCGCCTCCAGCAGAGCTGCTTTTAATCAGTCTCCTTGACAAGCTGGCATCTGGCCGGGCCTTGGCCTTGAGGTCTGGAGGAGGGAGGAGAGGAGATATGCAGAGGCTGAGACTGAGATGGGTGCCGGCGTGCTGAGGGGGCAGGTGCGGTCAGGTCTCAGAGAGGAGAGCTCAGACCTCAGTGCCTCAAGGCCGCCTGGAAGCCGCAGGTCTGCGGCGGGGCAGGCAAGCATGGCCATTCGGCCTGAGGAATCAGATCTGCCACTGACCCTGCAGACTCCAAGCCGATGTTCTTCTGACAGGTTGTAGGGTCAATGAAACCTATCAACACCCTCAACCAAGAGAAAAAAATTGTACAAAAAGACAATGGTTTGCAATAATAACAGCAATAGCTAACCTCCCCCTGAGCACTTACCATGCACCAGGCACCACTAACTGCTCTGCCTGGGTCATTTAATCTTCACAGGTCCTCTGCGAGGAAGGCTAAGTAAGGCTAAGCATTCGATTTCGATTTCAGGGCCCCAGAGTAAGAGGACCTTTCTGCAAAGATGCTTGGTTTTGATAAAATGCCAAGAGCCCTCCCCCCTGAGCCTCCTGCTCCAACCCTTCGTCCTTCCCCAGCCCGGAAGGCCTCCCCTACTGCCCTTGGCTTGCAACCCTGAGCTCCCCTCTGCTCTCACAGGGCAGCTCAGCGGAGCCACCAGACCCTTCCTGGAGCAGATGGACCAGGGCTCAGGGCCAGGATGAAAGAAAACGGTCCTTCCTCTGCCAGGAAGCCAAGTGGCACAGGTCTCTAGGAAACACGTTTCCATTTCCTGTGGGCCAATTCCAACCTGTGCCTGCTCACCAAATTACGAGCCACCACGGGAGCCGCAGAGTGCCAGTGAGCGTGCCAGGGACATACCCGACCTGAGACACACCTTGTGCAGGGTCCCGTGAGGTCCTGGGCATCAAGGGACAACAAAGGGGGGCCCCAGATAGCTGCAAGGACCCTGCCAAGGCCATGGAGGATGTCCTTGGCCAGCCACTTCCTCTCTCGTGTGGGGAAACTGAGGACCAGAGAGGTTCTAAAGGAAATCCACTCACCTAAGTGTTCTTTCAAGTAATTACTAAGGACCTACTGCATGCTGGGTAAAGAAAACAGGCACGATTTCTTAAAAGTAGGCACACAAGTGACTCTACAAGCACAAACTGGGGGAGGAAACCAGGATGAGATCAAAGAGAACAGAGGTGCCCTGCTTTAGATCTGAATGGGAGGGGAGTCCAGGGAGGCCTACCTGTGGGGAAATTACATTTAGGCTGAGAGCTCCAGGGAGAATAGGTGCTGAGGGGGCAGGAAGCTGTTCCAGGCAGAGGAAATAGCTTCTGAGAAGGGCCTGTGGCAGGAAAGAGGTGGGAGAGTGAAGGGAACAGAAAGGAGGCCCCTGGGGTGGCCAGCGGAGGAGGTGGGGATGGGCTGGAGGGGCTGAAGGGGCCAGAGCGCGAGAGCTTTGGAGGTAGCTGATGGCGAGTGGAAGGGGCGTCCTAGGGCAGACAGAGACCCCACTCTGCACCTGTTACGAGTTGAATTGTGCCCCCCCAAAAAGATATCTTACAGTCCTCACCCCAGGACCTCCGAATGTGGCCTGATTTGGAAAGACGGTCTTTACGGATCTAATCAAGTTAGAATGAGGTCAGTAGAGTGGGTCCTAATCCACTATGACTGGTGTCCTTATCAAAAGGAAAAATGTGTGGACACAGAGGCCCACATGCAGGGAGGAGAACGCCCTGAGAATAGGAAAGCAGAGGCCGGGTGCTGCTGCACCTATAAGCCAAGGAACGCCAACGACTGCCCGCAAGCCACAGAAGCCGGGAGAGAAGCCTGGGGCAGATGCGCCCTCGTGGCCAGAAGGAACCAACCCTGCCAACACCCTGACCTCGCACTTCTGGCCTCCAGAACTGAGAGAGAATCCACTTCTGTTGTTTAAGCCCCCCCCCCCCCCCCCCCCCCCCCGCATGTGGTCCTTTATCACAGCAGCTCTCAGCAAACTAACACAGCTCCCCACCCAACCAGAGAAGCTGGCTGCCTCAGAGGCCACAATTCCAAAGGTGTTTCCCAGAGCCTGAGGGGAAGTCGCGGGAGGCCCAGGGGTACTAGCCACAGCGCTGAGGTGTGACACCAGTGGGAATGGTCCAAATGCAGGACCTTGGCCCAGCCAAGCAGTCTTATCAGATTCAGTATCACCAACTCTTACAACCATCTCTCCTTGAACACTCTTTACTCTGGAGGCATTGAAACTGATCAGTCTTCCCATAGACAAAGGCCCTCCCTTGGCAGATGGCAGGAGGACTAGCTCTGGCCTCCGAGTGCACAGACCCCACCCCCATCACAGTCCTTAGAGCAAAGAGATGACAAATGGTGACTCTCGGGTGACCTCTGGTCACCAACGTATTTAGCTTGGACTACAGTGTGTCTAAAAACTACTAGAAGATGCCAACATTTCAGCGCTTGGGAGCTTTCAGGTCGAAATCAAAATTTCCAGTCTCTTAAAGAACTGGACACTGACAGCATGGGGCGGCCTGTCTTCTGTCCTGGAGACAACTCGCTGCATCTTTGGACAGCACGCCACAGTCCTCACCACACCCCCTTGCCTGCCCAACACGAGGACAGGCTGAGTGCCACCTCACATGCCCGCCCCTTTTCCACACCTCACGACCTCTCTCACCCCTACAGGCCCTGCTCTGAGATGCATTCGATGTTAGTGCTAACAACAGCACACATCAGTGGTCACCTGCTCCAGCCATTTCATTTCACCAGAGAGAAAACAAAGGCTCAGAAAGATTTACTGACTTGCCCAAAGTCACGCAGTGGTTCTAGGCCGAGCTAAAATTGGTCTGAGTCTTTCAGGAGGGGACTAAAAACTACAGGTACAGTCTTGCAATGTCCATGTCTTATGTCCTGAATCAAGTCCAAGCTGGGCTAAATCTCTAACAAAGGAAAGCATGTAGCTCATTCCTCTGCTTTCTTCAGACGGCCACCTGTGCGAGAGGGGAAAGAGTGAAGGCATGGGGACTTCCAGGGCTCAGGAAGAAATTCACAAGATTTGGGCACGGAGAATTGACTGAACTTACGAGCGCATGGCCTTTCTTGTTCACTGCTGAACTCCAGGACCGAGAACTTTCTAGAATACTACTGGCACTCAGTCAATATTGGCTAGCGATCACTGTTTATTTCACTCAGCCCAAAGCCACTCAAAAGTCAGGAGCTTTCTTTAGCTGGCCTAGAACCCACGCTCCTTTCGTCCGATAACAGCAGGCGAATTTATGTCTGGGAACCCATCTTTCCGTGTGAAAGGTCACTCCATGGAGCTGTCTGCACCATCCGCTTTGGAGGTCCCCATGTGACTCACGGCTGGTTAACTGGGCATCAACTGCTCTGGTCAAGTGATTGATGCAAGAGTAGATATGTGAGCCAAGCAGTCTACCAAGCTTTGCTCTAAGATTCTGGGGAAGTATCCGGCGCACATCCCTTCTCCTTAGCCACATGACCTTGGGGACAAGAGTACCTACCTCACCTACAGCACAGGCTCCTGCACACAGAAAATGCTCCCCAAATGGAAGCTGTTGCCAACAAAGCACTTCTGCAGCTGTAAAGTTCAAGCCCTGCAATTGGTTTTAATTTATAGGGAAACAAAACAATTTTTTATCTCTAATCCCATCATGCTAACTTAACTCTTTTCCTCTTCCCCTCCCAATCTTGCCCATATGCATCACTTTTCACTAAATTAAAGAGTCACGTAACTACAATATCTTTTCGCATCCTAAGAATTCGCACGCACTCTCACATGGCTTTCATAATGGGCGCAGAGGGGCTGCGAGATGGAGTCGCTGAGACCCCGGGAGGTGAGGTAACCTGTCCAAGGCAGCCCAGCAGGTTCCAGGATGGGCCTGGAGAAGAACCAGGTGTCCTGACTCCTGTGGCCTGTGTTCCCTGCGGCCCTCGACGCTTAGAGAGCAAGAAGCTCAATCATCTAAGAGTTGCTAGGCAGCTACTGTTCAGTCAGTGATGGAGAGCACTGGCCCCGATCACATAGCCAGGTAGCCAACGGCAGGTGTGCACTGGTGGCCCCCACTCTGAGGAGTGAGGAAGTGCAAATGTGTGGGTGGGAGTGGGGGCATTCAGAAAAGAGGGGTAGGAGCCATCTTCCTTCCTCTTCTCCCCCTGAGTCCCTCCCAAACTTTCACTGAACAAACCCAAGGAAGAGGCAGGGAAACAAGTGGCATTGCAACTTCTAATGAAAAAAGAAAGACTCTGACTCGACAGTTCTGCAGCTCAGCAAACCAGAGACAGAGGGGGCCATCCCCGCATCCACGGGCATCCTGCCACCCACCCATGGCACTCCCGCCACCCTTTTCCCTGCTGGTTAGGAGGTGATGCTAAATCTAGCTCCCTCCCTCCCTCTCTCCCCAGCCTCCAGCACAAGGCAAACCCTGGCAGGGGTGGAGAGGGGCTGGGAGCGGGCTCTGGGGACCCCACCCTACCCCCCACACCTGGACCCAAAGGGTGGGAAATTCTCTGAGATGAATCTAAATGAAATCTCTTTCCGCCAGAAGACCTGAAGGCAAAATCCCAAAGTACCTTTAAGGCCGCACAGGGAGGTACCATTTCCTCCACAGCCTGCCCCACACACAAACCACTGGTTCCCCATTTAAACTTCTCCAGCAGAGGCATCTCTGATACCACCCACAATGCCCCTTCCTCACCCACTTACTTCCTACCTTGTGTCCAAGCCACAAAGACCTTGGCTTCCCGGTGCCTCCCAGCCAGCATTTCCTCAGGGGACCATCCCTCACTCTCCTCCAGGATGCAATTAGCATTTTTCTCTCTCCCACTTCCATCTCTCAACTATTTACAGGAGCCACCAGGATAAAAAGAGACAACTTAAAAATAGTTTCCCAGCAGCTTTCAGGATGGGGTGGGGGTGGGGTACCACAGACTCTTGGAATTTTTTTTCTCTCCTTTTCAAAAAGGGAAAATTGCTAGAATCGTTTATCTTTTCCAAAGCGCTCCCCAACAGTTCATTCACAGACCACTCACCTGGGAGTTCCTGAGGTGCAGGAAACAATCCCCCGCGTTCCTCAGTTCCCAGGGCAGAGCTTGTCACCAGCCCCCAAAAAGTGTGGGTTCCGTGAAAGCTCCTCAGGGTTCCAGAGCCAGAGCTAAGTAACACAGGCGCCCTGCTCTGCCCTCTTTCCATCACCTCCTGGGCCTCGTTCCAGCCTTCCCAAAACACGGGCCAGTCAACAAAACGAAACTTGGGCTTTTCCTGTGCTTAAAATGTTTCATGATTGAATAAGAAGAATTCAGGGGCAACCAACACGACTGAAACTGAAAAACATCAGGGGCTAAAATAATTCCTTCCCCAATTTTGGTCACTAACATCCCCCAGCAGGGAATGCCAGAGCTGGGGTTTTCCCCTAAAAGTCTCACCAAACTCACCTCCTTTTAAATATGCTTTTTTTTCTTTTTTCTTTTTTTGGTTTTGTTAAGGAAGGGACCCAAGCATGGAAGAAGGAAAAGATAATCATTCCGACTCTCATTTTTCAGAGAGCAAAACCATTGGGAAATTATTTCCACGCCATCACCTCCTGGAGGAGGTGGGAGTCCACACCCTGAGAAAATGGGCATCCTTTACCAGCAGGCGGAGAGAGGACAAGGGAGACTCCAGAACTCAGCATTAGAAGGCCTGTCAGGAAGCCATACAGATCCCAGGGGACCTGAGCCTTGAATTTCTCATCTGTAAAATGGAGCCCCCACGGCCTACCTAGAGGGTAGCTGCACAGTCATTCTCTGTATCAAAGTGCCCAGCTCACAGCATGGCTCATAGTCAAGACCCTGCTCTCCTTTCTGTGCTCCACCTTCCACAGCGGTCACATGGGAGGGGTTGAGGGGCTGGTCTTTTCTGAGTCACTGGTGGACATTCCTGGCAAAGCTACCGGGAGGGACGGGAGCTGACTCCATGCCTGGCCACAGGGTTAGGGCACTATCTGCCTGGTGAGGCTTTCTTCACTTTGTGGGTTTACATACCTGGAAAAAGTCTCACAAAATATACACTAATGAAATCACATGGGGACCTACATTTAACACATCATGGTGACTGAAAAGAATGGAGCTGAATGGAATCAAGACTTTCCCTGAAGATCACACTTGTACTACCTGTGCACGGACGGCCCTGGAGGGGGTGATGGGCTTAGAAGGGAGCTAGGATTCTTGTACGGGAGCAGGTGAGGGTGAAATTAAGCAAGTCCCAAAAACCTTGTTCTGGGAAGCTGATCCCCCATTAACTTCAGAGAACCTCTCTGCCATCACCCTCTCCCTGCAAATGGAGTGACAAAATAACGTTTTGTGCCCAGAGGTTTATTAGTTGGAGGTTGCAGAGGCAGAGGAATGCATAAAGTGACCTTAAGAAGTACTTACGATGGAAGCAATTCAAGCGTCCATCAGCTGATGAATGGATAAACAAAATGTGGTCCCTCCACACAAAGGAATATTACGCAGCCATAAAAAGGAAGCACTGAGATATTCTACAACATGGATGAACCTTGTAAATATTATGCTCGATGGAAGAAGCCAGACACAAAAGGTCCCATGTTATTAACAGCCTGAAAGAAGAAAAGTCCATTGCATAAGAGAAATGTAATTTCCTCAGCCTCCAGGAAAGAGGGCATGGAGTGAGGGTGAAGACCGCTGCAGAGCCATGAAGCCAGGCCCCTGTAACCGGGAGAGCAAACCATCTGCGAAAAACCGCAATACAACGCCCTCTGATCCAAAGGAAAATCTGAAATAACATTTGCCCCAAGTCTCCTGGATCAGGAAATGAAATGGGAACCACATGCTCCCCACAGCCACCAGAAAAAAGTATGCCAGGGAGAACGTCAGCAGTGACCCTAAACAAGTTATTTTGCTTCTCTGAGCCCTTCCATAAAACGGGTTCACAGTGGGATAAGGGCGGCTCTGACCCATGTTAAAATCTGAGCCCAAATGCCTTGAAATCAGGTTTGTCCTACCCCACCCAGATCATCACTTCCTCCTAAGAGAGGTGCCTCCCCACCCACCAGCCCATCCTGGATCCAGGCTGAGGCGCTCAAGGAGCCTGCAGCAAGTTTCCTCTGCCAGGTCTTCCTGTCCTGGGTCTTTCCCCTTCTCCTCCCATCCAATCTCTATTTTTAAACTCATCCTTCAAGGCTCAGCACAAACACACCTCCTTCAGGGAGCCTCCTGGATTCCCNAGCCACCAGACCCTTCCTGGAGCAGATGGACCAGGGCTCAGGGCCAGGATGAAAGAAAACGGTCCTTCCTCTGCCAGGAAGCCAAGTGGCACAGGACTCTAGGAAACACGTTCCCATTTCCTGCGGGCCAATTCCAACCTGTGCCTGTTCACCAAATTACGAGCCACCACGGGAGCCGCAGAGTGCCAGTGAGCGTGCCAGGGACATACCCGACCTGAGACACACCTTGTGCAGGGTCCCATGAGATCCTGGGCATCAAGGGACAACAAAGGGGGGCCCCAGATAGCTGCAAGGACCCTGCCAAGGCCATGGAGGATGTCCTTGGCCAGCCACTTCCTCTCTCGTGTGGGGAAACTGAGGACCAGAGAGGTTCTAAAGGAAATCCACTCACCTAAGTGTTCTTTCAAGTAATTACTAAGGACCTACTGCATGCTGGGTAAAGAAAACAGGCATGATTTCTTAAAAGTAGGCACACAAGTGACTCTACAAGCACAAACTGGGGGAGGAAACCAGGATGAGATCAAAGAGAACAGAGGTGCCCTGCTTTAGATCTGAATGGGAGGGGAGTCCAGGGAGGCCTTCCTGCGGGGAGATTACATTTAGGCTGAGAGCTCCAGGGAGAATAGGTGCTGAGGGGGCAGGAAGCTGTTCCAGGCAGAGGAAATAGCTTCTGAGAAGGGCCTGTGGCAGGAAAGAGGTGGGAGAGTGAAGGGAACAGAAAGGAGGCCCCTGGGGTGGCCAGCGGAGGAGGTGGGGATGGGCTGGAGGGGCTGAAGGGGCCAGAGCGCGAGAGCTTTGGAGGTAGCTGATGGCGAGTGGAAGGGGCGTCCTAGGGCAGACAGAGACCCCACTCTGCACCTGTTACGAGTTGAATTGTGCCCCCCCAAAAAGATATCTTACAGTCCTCACCCCAGGACCTCCGAATGTGGCCTGATTTGGAAAGACGGTCTTTACGGATCTAATCAAGTTAGAATGAGGTCAGTAGAGTGGGTCCTAATCCACTATGACTGGTGTCCTTATCAAAAGGAAAAATGTGTGGACACAGAGGCCCACATGCAGGGAGGAGAACGCCCTGAGAATAGGAAAGCAGAGGCCGGGTGCTGCTGCACCTATAAGCCAAGGAACGCCAACGACTGCCCGCAAGCCACAGAAGCCGGGAGAGAAGCCTGGGGCAGATGCGCCCTCGTGGCCAGAAGGAACCAACCCTGCCAACACCCTGACCTCGCACTTCTGGCCTCCAGAACTGAGAGAGAATCCACTTCTGTTGTTTAAGCCCCCCCCCCCCCCCCCCCCCCCCCGCATGTGGTCCTTTATCACAGCAGCTCTCAGCAAACTAACACAGCTCCCCACCCAACCAGAGAAGCTGGCTGCCTCAGAGGCCACAATTCCAAAGGTGTTTCCCAGAGCCTGAGGGGAAGTCGCGGGAGGCCCAGGGGTACTAGCCACAGCGCTGAGGTGTGACACCAGTGGGAATGGTCCAAATGCAGGACCTTGGCCCAGCCAAGCAGTCTTATCAGATTCAGTATCACCAACTCTTACAACCATCTCTCCTTGAACACTCTTTACTCTGGAGGCATTGAAACTGATCAGTCTTCCCATAGACAAAGGCCCTCCCTTGGCAGATGGCAGGAGGACTAGCTCTGGCCTCCGAGTGCACAGACCCCACCCCCATCACAGTCCTTAGAGCAAAGAGATGACAAATGGTGACTCTCGGGTGACCTCTGGTCACCAACGTATTTAGCTTGGACTACAGTGTGTCTAAAAACTACTAGAAGATGCCAACATTTCAGCGCTTGGGAGCTTTCAGGTCGAAATCAAAATTTCCAGTCTCTTAAAGAACTGGACACTGACAGCATGGGGCGGCCTGTCTTCTGTCCTGGAGACAACTCGCTGCATCTTTGGACAGCACGCCACAGTCCTCACCACACCCCCTTGCCTGCCCAACACGAGGACAGGCTGAGTGCCACCTCACATGCCCGCCCCTTTTCCACACCTCACGACCTCTCTCACCCCTACAGGCCCTGCTCTGAGATGCATTCGATGTTAGTGCTAACAACAGCACACATCAGTGGTCACCTGCTCCAGCCATTTCATTTCACCAGAGAGAAAACAAAGGCTCAGAAAGATTTACTGACTTGCCCAAAGTCACGCAGTGGTTCTAGGCCGAGCTAAAATTGGTCTGAGTCTTTCAGGAGGGGACTAAAAACTACAGGTACAGTCTTGCAATGTCCATGTCTTATGTCCTGAATCAAGTCCAAGCTGGGCTAAATCTCTAACAAAGGAAAGCATGTAGCTCATTCCTCTGCTTTCTTCAGACGGCCACCTGTGCGAGAGGGGAAAGAGTGAAGGCATGGGGACTTCCAGGGCTCAGGAAGAAATTCACAAGATTTGGGCACGGAGAATTGACTGAACTTACGAGCGCATGGCCTTTCTTGTTCACTGCTGAACTCCAGGACCGAGAACTTTCTAGAATACTACTGGCACTCAGTCAATATTGGCTAGCGATCACTGTTTATTTCACTCAGCCCAAAGCCACTCAAAAGTCAGGAGCTTTCTTTAGCTGGCCTAGAACCCACGCTCCTTTCGTCCGATAACAGCAGGCGAATTTATGTCTGGGAACCCATCTTTCCGTGTGAAAGGTCACTCCATGGAGCTGTCTGCACCATCCGCTTTGGAGGTCCCCATGTGACTCACGGCTGGTTAACTGGGCATCAACTGCTCTGGTCAAGTGATTGATGCAAGAGTAGATATGTGAGCCAAGCAGTCTACCAAGCTTTGCTCTAAGATTCTGGGGAAGTATCCGGCGCACATCCCTTCTCCTTAGCCACATGACCTTGGGGACAAGAGTACCTACCTCACCTACAGCACAGGCTCCTGCACACAGAAAATGCTCCCCAAATGG